TTTCGTCGAAATTCTTCACATGGCAAAAAAGCGTTTGCCACATCAGCTAGTAATTTCTATAGCGAAAACAAAGACAAACATTGTATAAAATGACATCCTTCACAATCTATATTGTAAAATGTATGCACCTTTTTTTCAAGTTTTAAAGCATGAGACCATTATGTTAAAAGTTTGTCGTACGCCATTAGAGCTTCCATAACTCAAAACACAGTAGAAAAATGAAAGTGCAAAAAACCTTTCAAAAAATTTTGTTCAGTTGCAGCAAAGGTAACTGAAAGCCAGGAAACAAGATAGTGAATGCGTAATGAAGGTCAAAGCGGCATATGCTCCTTGAATTATGCATAAAACTGCACTGTCTCGGAGCCGATGTTTACGAGTTTACACGAACTTTGGTCGTTCGTGCATATTTAATTTATATAGATACTGTAATCCGTGCAAACTTAAATTAACAGCATATGACGATATGCAAAGATAGTTTTTAACGAGTTGCGTTTGTTTTCTCTCGTTGTTTCAAAAACGAGATTTTCATTTCGAACTTGTTTAATAGCATGGCATAGAGACTTTCGTAACAAGCTTGGTTTCAGAAATGTTGAATGGACTGAGGAAAAGTAGAGACAAACTTTACTTACTAATAAAGCTATGTTTGGGATAGTTTCCATTTTGATAATTGGCCACATTTGCAAAGATGTTTTAGCAACTATAAACAAATTATATTATATATCTGACTCGGTAGCTCAATTAGTTAGAGCAACAGCACGGAACGCTATGGATGCCGTTTTAGAGTCGTATTTTTTTAATGTATAATCGATTTTTAATTTATATTATCTATTTAAATCTGCATAATCTAAAATCAAGTTCAATTCATCAATCATCAATTACTAAACTGTACTGAAACAAGGTAAAATTATTATTCATAAAATGTAAAAGCAAAGTTTGAAAATACAAAAGGCAGAGATCTGATAACCGAATGTTTGCGTAAAAGGAATGTGAAAATGAAACTTTGATAGAATTAAAAGTTTTGAAATCCAGACGGAGTTAATGTAATTATTATTTCAAATTCAATCATGGAGTCTTGAATTTAATGTTACAATAACATGAGCAATATTACAATAAATTAACTTTTTCGTCAAACAAGCGACTATCGAATGTAAAATTCTACGTAAACCTTATATCACTATTAAGTAAAACCACTTTAACGGTTTAAAACGAGATATCTTTTAGTTAAACCTATTTGAAAATTATTTTTTTACAACGGCCCGACGTTTCGGATGCTTTGCAGCAGCCATGGTCACGGAGAGACAAAAGGTGGAGGATGTCTCTGACGTCAAAGTAAAAACTGCTACGTCAGCGTCATCTGTTCTGTCGAAGTTGGTATTTGGCGAAACTGGCCGGGTTGCTGAACTGACAGTTTAAGTAATATAATTATATCGCACCTTAAACCTTTTAAAGAATACGGTGGGGAATAAGTAACCCGTTGGTGGGTGACATAACAGTTATAAACGCGAAATGTATTATTTGACTTATTTGCAATCGCTATATTTAAAACTACGGCCCGACGTAACGAATACTTAAAATTATAAATAACAAAATGTACATGTAAGTTAACTAATACATTTCGCGATTTAAACCGTTGAAAGTGCAACTACTAGAGCAATACTCGTGTAAACTACAGGCGATGATAGTCCATTCAAACTTCATCCGTTCGTGAGGCGCATGGAAGATTTTACTTCCTTATAAGTGCTCTATAAACATAAATTCTTAGATAAGACCTGGGAGTAATTAACTTGGCTGAGAACTTCTTCTGTGTTACTTGCTGAGAGAGTGTAATGTGGTTTCGTTTTGAAATATGAACGTTAATATTGTGCTGTCTTCGCAACGGAGGCCGGATATCTTAGACAATTTAGACTCCAGAAGCTAAAGTAGCTTATTACAACAAACCGGGCGAGAGAAATTGTTAAGTAAAATATTAAAGTTATTGTAGACTTAACAATCATGGGGAAACGTCGTTTGACATTTTATACTATACTGTTTGTATTGTATTTTTATTTTATAGCCTCATACTAAACTAATTTTGTCTATGAATTTGGAAATCGACAAACTTAAACCAAAACCTTCCAGTCGCAGTCCAAAATGTTTCAAGAAGAATTACAAGTTTTTTTTATAAAAAAGTTAGACCCGATGATTACTACCATTAAAAAAACACCTTAACCGTTAACGGGTGTTTCCCCGTGACCAAGCATCCGAAACTCCGCCCATAGTTTAAATAATTTTTAAATAAATTTAACTGATATAGCATATAATTTGGTCGAACAGCCCCAAAATAAAGATATGTTAAACAATGGCCGAGAAAGCCTTACTCAATTTATTAACTGATATATTTCGCGTTTTAAACCATTAAAGCATTTTATTGAAATGTGTACTACGCGCGTAAATTACAAACAAATCCGTCAAAAGTTTATTATTTTCGGCGCAAATCTTTACTAGATTTCTACAAGCGTCAACAAAACGCTTCAACTTGAATTGAATTTTCTTACGTCTCAACGAGAAATCGCTTAGAAAAATTAATTAAACGACACAGACATGATGAAGTAATCAAGATATTAAAGATTTTTTTATGAAGTAGAACGGTAGTAGACCATAGCGATCTGTGCTATTACTGCCAGACTACTACGACGACGGTAGATAATTTGCATCAAGCAATATTATTTATGATCTAAAATAAAGTATAAATGTATAGCAGCATATATGAACTGTGTGCACTAACATATAAAAAATATAATTTAATCGAAGTAAAAATATACGATCTAATAGATTTTGCGTTTTAAATTGTCAAAATTTTATCTTAAGTGTTCGATTCGCGTAAATACTGAGTGTGTACTTGAGTTTACATAGGTTCTTTCATGGCTGCAGTGAGTCCTGTCCATTTCATACGAAAGTTTTTCATTTCAAAATTCCTCCCGTCGAAATGAATGAATTTAATTACATAATACTTTTGTGCCTTATCGCCCAACTGCACTCATTTTCCAGCAAAACGCGCACTATTCAACCACATTTCCGATGCGAAATTTTCACGTTCATATTTTTAAATCAGAAATTTGAATATTCAGATATTATTTCTCATCTCAGTCTGTAATGAATTCGTCCGTAACACTCCTCGGTGAATGAATTTATAATACTTAATATTTCTTTTTAATAAACATAAATTCAAATTCGGTGCTACGGTTTCGGAAAACCTTTTAATTAAAAATGTTTCTTTCTATAAAAATAAATCTACAGTAATTAATTTTATTCCAAAATTTTGTATACTTAAGTACTACAATGTATGTGAAGAAAACTGAAGCAAAACAGGCCGTCCGTAAAACACTAGGCTCAAACCAAAGCAAAGTCAAAGGGTCTAACTCACTCTCTCCATCTCTCTCATTCTCTTTTTTACATTTATTATTTCCAAATAAATAAGATTTGCAATAAGAAACGAAAAAGAGGTCTAGTCGACCTTAAGGATCCCACGCCTGCCTCTGCGGGGACAAGGTGTTTGCAAATGTTTTAACGTCGAGGTCAAACGGGCTTTAGGAACCCTAAATTAATTATTTGAAATAGCTATAATAACAATGATAGGTAGATGCAAAAGGGTTTACAGATTTTAATAAAATCAAATAAATCAATTGCGTTAGAAAACGAAAGCGATTGAGAAGAACGAAATCAATGTAACCTTTTTTGAAATCGGTTAAAAATTTAAATAAAGATTTATATTGTTGATATCATGTACATTTTAGAGCTACAACCATAGTTTTATATAATATAGGTAGCTAAGACAGTAAAAATAGAAGGGCTTCATAATGATACAATATAATTCTCTTCTTACTCATAATTTTAACTTTAAGTATCCACTTATAATAATTTAAAGTAACACTCATCAAGACTCTAGCTATATCTATTTATATTTTTATGAGTGCTCAATTCTTCTAATTCCTAAACAATCAAAAGCTGCACAAATCATCTAAGCATTTAGGTCACATTCACCATTTTAACGTAGTCCCGTAATAAGGTTACCCAAACATGTTTAAATTTTCAATCATTATTTTGTTTGCGTGCCCTTTCTAACGAGTAAAGTATCATTGTTAATTACATCGACCTAACAGAGATGACTGATGACGTCATTCTAAGACAATACAGTACCACAGACCATACACATAATCCTTGAATTGTTGACAGCTTTTTACATAGCATAATCTATCTACTATGTACTTTCGACTTATTAACTCTATTTTAAATTGTTTCGATAAAAATTTCGCCAGTCCTATATAGGTACAAAAGAAAAGACAAAATATATTATTTAGAAATAATGCGTTCTATTAAGTTCCGTAAGAATAATTATTACTATAATTTGGATTTAAACAAAAAAATGAATAAAAAACAATATTAAATTGTTCAGATGTCAATATAGGAATTATCATTTAGTGTTTAAATTTACATAGTGGCGACACTATAATGAAAATAAGAGAAGGCTGCAAAAAAAACAAAGAAATAGCTTATAATTAAACGAACAGTTAAATTAATTTTCGCGAGATTCGAACTAATTGGTTCATATGTAATCAACTTTAAGCTCGTCTGCGCTGAAAGCCTTTAGATCCAATATTTGCTGCCTGGAACACATTTGCAAACTCTCAACGATATTGGTTTTATGTCGAGTGGTATCAATCATGAACGTTATAGAGTATACATATAATGAAGAAAAGTATTCAAAATCCTTTTAATTACATAAAAAAAACGTGATGAAAATTTTACGAATTTTGCGTTATAATTTCGTTTATTTCCTTACCAAGTGTAGCTCAGTAGCGAGTTTCATTTTATAGAAATAATAAAAATGAACAAAAACGATAGACATATTAAGTTATTCTATATTTTTATTAGATTTTTCGTTGTAATGTTTAAAGATTTTAAATTGAAACAGATATTCTTAAAATTTTATATCGAAAAAATAAATTAGCAAATAAACTTACCACAATTTAAATTTCGTCTATTCACTATCACTCCGTAAAATAAGCAAAGTAACGACTTTGCATACTTATTTTGTAAATTTTATTCCTATAATAATATAGCTTCGAATCGTTCTAAGCACGAAATAATCCTGATGAAACTTATAAAAGTCGACGTCTCAACACAGCCACGCAGCTAACAGCTTACGGCCGGTCTTTTCAAATGTCCACGCTTTTTAATTTTTGCCGCGCGCAGTCTTCACGTCTGCGCTTTGCCGCCTTATGCTACATAACTATGGAAATGGAACATTTATACGTAAAACCGTATACATATTGACAAAACAAATAACTAAGTGTAATATTATAATATTTACAAAATGTTACTTATTGTATGTATCTAAATAAAGAGAGACGATTATAAAGTCTAATACTTGATTAGACTTTATAATCGTAAATTCACCGCCATCTTTGCAACGAGTTTAAAAGTTGACAATAGTTAAGTTTTTATTGTATAAATTTTCAATTTAATTGTACTTAATACTGTCACTAGATGCCACTATACTAAAATTAAACTACTTCTTTTCTATTAAAAACATTAAAATGTAATTTGTTTATTATTATTTTAAAGTTAAAAATTATATACTACTCTAAATAATTTTTAATTTTAAAATTTCTTATTCTTTTTAATATTGATAATATTATTTTATCTGTCAATGTGTTTTAAGAATAATCTATGGTCCACTTTAGTTGTACAAGGTATCTGAGTTCTGACTATCTGTAGTTTTCTATAATCTGTCGTTTCATCCTAGTTCGAATTCCAATTTTATTGCACAATTTGTGGAATTTTAGGTTAGATTTCGATTTACAGGAAAATATATAAAGTTTAATTTACTAAGTGAAAGATTTAAATACGATGGCTCAAAGTAAGCTTAACGATATGGCTGGAAAGTTTGCGAAAGGTGGTCCACCAGGTCTTGGTATTGGATTGAAGCTGGTAGCAGTTGTCGGTGCGGCGGCCTATGGCGTCTCCCAATCTTTATTCACTGTTGAAGGTGGTCATCGCGCTATTATGTTCAATAGAATCGGCGGTATTCAAAATGATGTTATGGCCGAGGGCTTGCATTTCCGTATGCCGTGGTTTCAATATCCTATTATTTATGACATCAGATCGCGTCCAAGAAAGATTTCTTCTCCTACTGGATCTAAAGATCTACAAATGGTCAATATTTCTCTCAGAGTCTTATCTCGCCCTGATTCTAACAGCCTTCCTATAATGTACCGACAACTGGGAATTGACTATGATGAAAAAGTATTACCATCTATTTGCAATGAGGTTTTAAAGTCAGTGGTTGCCAAATTCAATGCATCCCAACTTATTACACAACGTCAACAAGTTTCTTTACTTATTAGACGAGAGCTTGTGGAAAGGGCAGCAGATTTCAACATTATCTTAGATGATGTGTCGTTGACTGAATTAAGCTTTGGTAAAGAATACACTGCGGCAGTTGAGGCTAAACAAGTAGCACAACAGGAAGCCCAAAGAGCTGCTTTTGTAGTAGAAAGAGCTAAGCAAGAACGACAACAAAAGATAGTGCAAGCTGAGGGAGAAGCAGAAGCAGCAGAGATGTTGGGTAAAGCTATGGGTATGAATCCAGGTTACTTAAAGTTGCGTAAGATTAGAGCAGCACAGAGCATTTCTAGAATGATAGCACAGTCTCAAAACAGGGTATTCCTACCGGGTAACAGCCTAATGATTAACCTTCAAGATCCTTCCTTCGATGACCTCTCTGAAAAACTAACAAAGAAGAAGTAACATGAAGCTATGGAAGAGTATGTGACAGTGCTTGAACCAATGCCTACTCTTTCAGAAAACGAAGCATTTTTTATAAGTGATGCAATTTCCGAATCAATGTAAGAAACAATGTTAGTTGGTTAATGCATTTGGTTAAAAAATGTCAGGGTTCAATGTTCTTTTACTGCATTTCATGTTATTTAGTTGTAGATATAGGCCTTATGTAAATCATTATAATATTAAAAATGTATGTTGTTTTATTTGTCTCCATGAAAATGTTAAATACCTATTAATAAAATAAAATAATAGGCATATTACAATTTTAATGCTTATCATTAAATTGCACTATGTGGTAGACTGGAATTAGTAGCTTGGTAAAGTGAGTAAAAAAAGCAAATATATGCTTATCATAGTTTGTTTTTATTTTTTATGATGTAAAGGTAAAAACTGCTAATAAAAATTCTTTTAAAAGTAACATATTTATTTACACTTTGCTACACATAAATTAATCAAAACAAGAACCAGTTTCTATATTTATTTCTTTAGTGCAGAAGGTTGAGGCAACCGATATTTAGCCATTTCTATCTCTGCTTCAAAGTAACTCATATTGTCGTAACAAAAATATTCTGGAACTTTATACGCCCCACTTTTATTAGGATCTACATTAGGGCCGACAGGCTGAGCTGAACTATGTATAACTGCATTGCTCAACCCAGGTACATCGGTAGAAGGCGAAGGTGATACTGAGCTGGATTGTGGACTCGGATTGAATCCCTCGCTAAAGTATCTAGTCAGCATTCCACTACCCCTTTTGACTCCGTGCCGGAATAACATTTCGAAAATTTCTTAATTATCTGAATAATATTACACAATCAATGAGTTTTTATTATGAAAGCGTATTTAGCCACAGATCACTTTATTATTAGCTCGCAGTCAGTAGGCACAGATAAATTTTCAAAATTTTATAAACTCCTGTTATTGCACAAGCAGTTGTGTATTATATTAAAGCAAAGAAGAAAAGTAGTTCAGGTGCGTGTATACTTAAAAAAATAAAATATGAAGTTTATTTTATTTACATACAAAATCAGAGAGGAATAAAATACATAAGCTGTAGTCATCAAATAAATTTGTTATGCGTCTATTGATATTGGTCTAGCTTGTCTGTGAGACTTTTTCACGACTGTTTTGGATAGTTATGCTGTCGTGCTTAAATCGCCGATTTTTCGATAAACTCGTTAAAAAATGCATTTAATTTAACTTTATTTTGCTTCACCAATGCTAAATAATGTTCTCTTGATAAGTGTAGTGTTTTTATTTACGTGAATCGTGTAAAACACCCGTTCAGCCATTTACATGAAAGGTAAGCACAAAAAATCATTAAGTACCTTGATTTTTTTACTTTATCGTTAAAAGACCCTTACCAGCTATGAAGAAACGCAATTTCTGTGATAGTATAATTGACTCACGTTTCTTATTGGTTTTATATTATAAAAGCTAACTATCTATATTGTATACTACCTATAAAGAGTTGTATACATATACAATACCGTCTCTTTTGGGCACTGTGCTGTTTATGAAATTTTAAGGAAACGAAGGCTTAGATGCAGTGATTTATATAATACTGTAAAATAAAGAAGGTTTTGTCAGATGTCAAAATCTGCTGTAAATAATGCGCATTTACCAATACTATACTAAGAAACGTTTGAATATTTGCTTAGCAGTTCAGATAGCAATTATGGGCGACAAATCGATTGTGAATATTATGTTTAAGCTATGTTTAACAGTGTCCGCCGCTGGTTTTTATTTTTGTTTTAAGTTATAATTGTAATAATTACTGTTTTTTTTTCTAAAACCTAACAGTTTACATGACGACCATAGAGTAGACGTTAGTATATGCGTCAAATTAAAAACTCTGTGGACAAACTTGTTGTGGTTACTTGAAATGATCGAATGCATTATCGTACATCTATTAATCGCATATATATTTGTTAAGGTGTAATGAGGTCATGTCCGTTTTAAAATTAATTTCTCCATTAACGTAAACTCGCTTATTCTTTTATATAAATATAACGACCTGGATATATAGCGATAAAAAATAATCATAATAAAAAGATATTTTATTCACGTACTTGTTAAATATGTGCAATGTATTCTTGTACACGACAAAAATACATTGCTGCAAACATTTTTAATTCAGTTTCATTTTTTATAAAGCTTATTTTTAATAAAGGTGCATAATTATGCTACTATGTTCCGATTTTTTATTAATCGATTATTTCAATGTCTGAGCACATCACTTGCTCTCTCGAGCGTCAAGCAAATTTGTTTATATTAATTATTCCCTCCTTTGACCTTAACTTTTTCTCAATATTATTTTTGACGTTTTTTTAAACTGTTTATCATCAACTACTTGGTCTTTTATATGAAAAGTAATATTGCAGTTAAATAAATAAAGCGTCAGCGAAATGGCGGCATCCGCGCCTATAAACGACGTACTTTGTGGTGCTGTTGAATATTTAGTAAAACTAGGCTGTAATCTTAGACAGCGTTCGGAGACTTTAAAAAACAAGAGAATTAACAAGGACAGGTTAAGGAATTCACATGCTGTCCAGAAGGGAGCAAAAAAAGTTTTACTTTTGTGCGAATTGTCAAAGAAATCGATTCATACGGTAGAATCGAGTGTCGAAGCTATCTTATCTCAAATTTCGAATTTGCAAGCAAATACTAACGCCAGCGAGGAGTTGAAAGAATTAACGCACTATGAAAGTTTTATGTTCAATTCAAAGAGACTGAGAATTCGTAAAAAGATTGATATCAAACAATATACTTCTGCGAATGTAGTTGTTACTAGAATGCCCATCACGGCGTTAGATAAATATCCAGTTCATTATGATTGCAAACTGCTTAGATTAAGAATGAAAGTGAAAAAAACAAATGACAGAGACTGTGATACTTCTCACTTACATTCAAGTTCTTATGGGAAAAGAGAAAAGTCTGTTTCCTTTAATGAAAATATTGTTATATGTGAGAATACCAAGAAAGATGATGCAGGATTATCTAATAGTAAAACAGTTTTTCCTAAATGTAGTGAAAATCCAGTTGAAGAAGCTCAAAGGATCAAAAACATGAATAAAGCAAACTGTAATAGTAGTGTAATGGGCCATGTGAAAAAAAATAACGAAGATGAATCAACAATATTAAAGGAAAGTTTACTTTCTTTTGAAGAATCAAGAAACCAAAACTATTTGTTTTCTTCAAAAAAAGAAATTTCAACTTTGAGTTTGACTAGTAATGACGTCAACCAAAGCGAGAGTATAAATTTAAGTAGTCATAAAAGTGATAAAAACAAATTGTCTGTATCTAATGAAAATTCAGACACAAATGATAAAGTAAATGACAAAATAAATTTGTGTTCTCATAGGAAAGAAGATAGTACAAGGATATTGACAAGTAATAATGACAAAATTCAAAGTGACACAACTTTACATAGTAATGGCAATCTTTGCACTGCAAATGAACTAAAATCATATGTACCCCATAATGTAGATGAAGATAATTTCTTAGAAAACAATACTCATACAACTGAAAATTGTGAAAGTGATAGAAGTTTAGACTCTAATTCTTCAAAAAAAACATTTATAAAATGTGTAAATATAAAAAAACTGTTGCGGCCGGACGTTATACCTAAAGCTTTACCCCCAGTAGTAATTGACAGTGATAGTGATAGCAATAGGTCAAAAATTAAATATCAGACAAAGAGGCAGCAAATGCAGAAAAAAGTTGAGAGCTTTAAGCCTAAAAATTTTACAATAATTGTAACCAAATTACCTGAACTGAATATTGCATTCTTAAAAAGTCATAACTTAAAAAAAATTATTCAAAAAGGAAAAATAATCTGTGAAGTTTTAGAATTTCCAAAAAATTCACCAGAATTACAGACTGATAATCCTGGAAAGGCAATTAGATCCATATCCAGTAGGCAAGACAACAGCCCAAAGAACATAGATTCTATAAAAAAATCTCTGGTAAATGCTTCTGACTCAGAAAATACAGGTGAAGATATCAGGCAAGTGAAAAGTGAAAATGTAAAAAGATCACTTTGTGAATCACATTCAGACAAAGACAAAACTACTGAAAAGAAGATGCTGAATAGAACTGCACCAGATCCAATAGAAAAACCTTATAATCAAAATTTCATAGATAATTCTAAACATTCCGATGTCTGTAACAGTGGCATAAATACTAAAATAACAAATATTGAATGTAACAATGACTGTGTCAACTCTGGTAGTGTGTTAACACCCGAAATAAGTAATGAAACAACAAGAAGTAATGCTGAATCATTGTTTGACAGCCTAAAGTCACAGAAGCAGATAGACTCCCCTCCATCTAAACGCAAGAGAATTATGGAAAGCATACATGCAAAAAGAATGTTGCTAGCATTCTCATCTAGTTCTGATACGGAAGATGAACAGCTAAGAAGTACTGCCAAGCAAATCCAAAATGAATTGCTTAAAGTTGATATGAGATCACCAAATAATAAAGAAAAGTGTTATTTATCAGATTCTGATAAGTCAACCACATCTAGTAAGAGTAGTAACAATAGTATAAAGAAAAATACAAATAAAAAAAGGAGGAATTCTGCAGCATCATCTGGGGAAAGCGAAACAGACTATACAAAGTCGTCTACTAAAAAGGTTAGAATATAGTTATGTCTTGAAAAGAATAGTAAGTAGTAGTACATATTGTAATCTTTCAAGATTATTAAATTATTAGTGTACAACGTTCCTTTGTAACAGCTTTTTCTAAAATGTAAAACAGTATCATTATATTCTGTACATATAGTATGAAATTAATATAACATACCTACTTAATAAGTTATAGTTTAAATAAATATTGTTACATTGCATCTATGAGAAGTCTTATTAAAATATGTTTTCAATTGGCGTTTTTAATTTGGAGTAATAGGTCTACCTAGTCTCACTTGGAAAAATAATAATTACAGATGGAAGAATCTAATGGTAAATCTAGCAGTGGCAGTCAACATTTGAGTAGCAGAGAATCTGATAAAGAAATAGAAGGGTAACTAAATGAGGCTTAATAAATAGCATACATATTACAATGGGACTTTAAAACTGGATGGGTTCTTGTTTATTTTGTGTTTGAAGCTTCATACATAACAACCAAATAGTTAAAAATAACAATTTGCCTATCATATATCTTTTAACATATCATACAATCCTGAGAAATGTGAGTCAATATTAAAATGTGTCACTCTAAAAAAAGTGCTGTATTCATGTAACCTCTATGCCCTGCAAAATGTGTTTTTTTGTGTGGTTGATTGTTATGAGGGATTTACTTGTTCTTGTAATTCTATGTTTCTTGGCCCAAAAACTGTTTGTACATGTAATAATGGTTTGTAAATACAGGGCTTTATGTGTTATTGGAAATTAAATGGATATGCCTAGGTGTTTAGCTTTTTGCGCTGTTTGGTTGTTGGACTTAATACAGATATCCTCGACGTTTCGCCATCGTGAGTGTTGGTATCAAAAATATAGTTAGTCCTCTATCTCCTAAGGTAGCAATAGTACCTGTAATCAGTTTTGTTTAATTTCATAATATACAAGTGAATGATCAGTCTTTTGCGTTTTAAAACTGCCCACAGCTGTTACTGTAAACTGTAAAATCTAAAGTTAAGTTACATGTAAGCAAGCAATTTAGTAGTTTTGAAAGGAGAACTTTAACCTTATGATTACTAATTGTAAGTTTAATCTCTAGATATAATGTTACTACATTTAAACAATTACTAAACCATACTCTTTATTTTAAAACAATATCTGTTACCATGTGAAAAGCACACACAAAACCATACGATTAATGAGCGTTATGTAATACTAGCTGTTTCAGCGACTTCGTCCGCTAAGAATGTTTATTTTGGGCATCCAAATTCGTTTTCGCAAACCCCTTCATCTTTATAAACTTAGGCTGTGTTACCCAAGACGTCGAATGCGTCCCTTCCCGTCGTTCTTGCAAGTTAATCTTAAAAGATAGACATATAGCGTCGCGCACTTTTTTTTTAGATCATTTAAAGAGAAATCATTCTTTCATCCATGTTTTTGGAGTATCTTGAACCGTTTTTGCAGCGTACGCCTCGGAAACCCATAATGATGAATAATTTTCTCAAAATCTGTACCTTTGCTTGTATTAGTCACAGGACGATGGTTATAGCCTTCCACTACAAATGCTCTATCCAACACAAACATATTTTTTGTATTCGAAGCAGAAGTTCCTAAGCTTGCTCGTTTAAACGAACAAGCAAATTCTTCAGCTTTATAATTATAGTATAGATTTACTACAGATTTTTTTTATAAACAATACTTAGATTAACGAATATCAAGACTTTAAGAAAGTCCGCCCGTCAGCGGTCCCAGCATCGCAACCGTTGGCGCGAATTCAGAATGGCTAGAATGCCCAAGGCACCTCTGATAAGCGAGGAGGTGGTGCTGCAAGCGGAGTGTGAATCGGATGTAGCCTCGGTCGCGTCTAATGACGATTGCGATGTGGACGGTAAGTTTCTTTTTATCTTCATTGCGTCGACCTTAACATTTTGCTAATGTCAGTTCAAAGACAGAACATCGTTGACAAGTTCCTGTCCTGATTCTGAGTTTGCATCCCAGGGAAACAATAAATTTTTTAGGTCGGGCAGGGCACAGAAGTGTGATCAACTACTACTTGCTTGTAAATAAAACATTGGGGAAACAGGATTTCATTTTAAAGACCTAACACAATTAAAAACTTAGAATTGACCTCTACATCTAGAGATGACAGAGTTAAACGGCAAAATTTAGTTCCTTAGCTTCATTGTAAAGAAGTCTCTTAAATAAAGATTAATAATGCCACAACGAATAGTTTTGTAACTTTGCTTATGAATATAAAAAGACGTTTTTTTTGTTATTAAAAATAGAATTACCCAGATTGCCCCTAACTACGTTAAATGGTGACGTCGAGGCAGTCGCTAAAGAAGACTTGTTAGGGGACAGCGATTCGTCGACGTCGCATAATCAAAATAAAAATTCACAGGTAAAATTATTACGTACTTATAATCAGATAAACGCAAGAAAATATCCATTTACTAAGACTAATATTTTTGTTTTAGGATGACGAAGAAATCAATTCGGAGGGCGAAAAGTAAGTTATTTAATCATGAATCTTTTACTTAATAAGATCGATAAGGATTGATAAGTTATAAATACATACCTATGTTTTTAGTCTAAAATCAAAGCGTCGCAAAGCAAACGCGATATCATCAGACTCGGAGGCAGGCTCCTCGCGAAAAAAGGACCCGAAGGTTAGCGATTTCGAAGATTCGGAGGACGATGGCTTAGAACCGGTTAAGAAAAGTAAAAGAAGGAAAAAGGAAAGTGACAGTGACGCTTCTGTTGGCTCGAGTGATGAGCAGTGAGTGTTTTCCAAATTATTTTCGTAGTATTAACTTGGTCGTTTTTTTACCAGTAGATATTTTATAGGAAGCCAGTTACAGACATCAGTATATCATAAATAAATATTTACTATGTTCTTACATTGACCGCCTCTGTAGCCAAATGGTTAAGCGTATTGCCTAGCATTGCGTTATGCGCGAGAGGTCCTCGCTTCGAATCCCAGGGGGTTGTTCCGGTCGGGTAGGGCACAGAAGCCTAAACAACTACTTGCCTGATAAAAAGAACGGACATTTTGACTTTTTTTATGTTCTTTGAAGATGAAAAATAATTTTCTCCTTTTTCAGTAAGAAGAAAAGACGACGGATTAAGAATATCGATGACAGTGAGGGTTCGGGATCGGAGACAGAAAATGAAGGACGAAATAAACATGGGAGAAAGAATATTAGAAAGGTATGAAGTCTGATGTAAAGACAATAAAATTTGAAGTACATCCTTCTTACCACAACCTCCTTTTGTGGTTAGTGTTAAGGATTGGTTTTAACATGACGTTTTCTCTTGTGTTTTACAGGTTATGGGTAAATCTCAGTTGGAGGAGGCGACGAAGAAAGCTGCCCGTGAAGAAAAGGAAAGGATGGCTCGAATCGCTGAAAGACAAAAATTGGTAACTACTTTATTTTCTCTAAAAACGTGTTCTTTTCTTTCGCTCTTTTGGTATTAACGGGAGTTCCCATTATTCCAGTATAATAATTTGCAATTTGACGAGTCTGGCAAACCAGACGAAGTGGTTTTGGACAAAGTGGTCCTTGATTTCGACCCAGAAACCAAGGATCCTATAATAGAAGTTGACAAGGGCCTAGTGAAGAAGTTAAAACCACATCAGGTATGCCTTATACAGGGTTATTCTTTGTTGATACTAAAGCTGAAACACGCCAAACGTCTTTTTATTTGCAGAATCAGGATAAAAAAATCAAAATTAAAAAATAATGAAAACTAACGAAGTTATACATTTTTTTTAAATGTTATTGTTTATCCTTCGGCCATTATCATGGTCACTGCAGCAGCCGTGACGACGGCCCCCGCGCAGCAAAAAAAAAACAAAAAGAAAAAGGATTTATAAAAAAAATAAAAAAAAAAAAGGGCGTTTAAACCGTTAAAGTGTTTTATTTAGAAGTTATACCCCCCCCCAAGAAGAAAAAAAAGAAGGGAGAGAAAAAAAAAAAGGAAAAAAAGGGGGGGGGGGGGGGGGGGGGGGGGTTAATTTTTTTCATTTATTTTATCCCGCATTATCATGGTCACTGAGCAGGCGTCGACGCTCCCTCTCCTCCGCTCCGCGTCTTGCACCTTACACTACTTTTATGTACCTATTGTCCGCTCACAGAATGTATTGAGAGGTTTTGACAATAACATTTTCCATCACACTTACAGGCTTTGGACTGTCAGATTGGTTAAATGGCATGTAGATAGCGTTAATTATTGCATATATAACACCATTATTTACACTAATTTATCGAATCTTTGGGCCTTATCATTTTCGAGCAGCTCTTGTGCTCGTCTAAAATGATAAAGGTATTGGTGGTCATTCCTTAAAGTCCACCACACGTAAGACTGACTTACGTTGAGTAATCTCCTCGCCTCGACTGGTCTGAACTGGCCATGGTCTCGTAAGCGCTGCGTAACACCCATTGTGTTCCATGATATCAAGATGCTAAATTGTTAATGATAACGTCTCACAGCTTCGACAACATTATCACCACACAAAGCAAGTGTTCGCACGTGTTTTCGCAAGCAAGTGTTTGTCATTAAGACACTTAAAAAAACACCGCGACGAGACGCCCGTGGGATGCGCAATCGCTTGCTTGTAATTAGGAAGAAAGTCGTTACGTAATCACCGCGAAAGCGGCTCGTCACTTTGTACTAACAAAGCGACGAGCCGCCGCCGCGGATTCCCCGAATTTTTAGACCTATTTAGTTATGTAGGTACATATATATTTATCAAACGGTGTCCAAGATTTCATACAATTTCGACAAAAAATATTACGTGGTATAAAAACTATTGGAATGGATTCTGCTACTGATTCTGAACCAACTACTTTCAGGTTTCGCATGAAGTAGGAATAACCTTGTATATGTGATTGGTATTTCAAATACTAAATTGCCTATAATATTGCAAGATGTACTCCGAAATAAATTTCTATTATAGTTATCAAATTATACTTAATCTATAAGAAGTTGCTTAGCTATCTTGATACCTAGCTATTTTTTATTTTCCATTTTTTATTTCCATATATTTTGTTACTTTCCAGGCGAACGGTATTAAATTTATGTGGGACGCTTGTTTCGAGAGCGTTAAGCGAATAAAGAAGGGCAAAGGATCTGGCTGTATTTTGGCACATTGCATGGGACTCGGAAAAACGTTACAGGCAAGTAAACTTAATATCGCTTTAGCCCTATTATATTGCGAAAAACCGTAATTGTAGGAAATGTATTTATAAGTAAGAAAATGTGGTTAACATTATTACAATGATGCAGCGTGGAACGGCTTAAGAACCTCTATAAGGTTCGCCCATAAATTTGTGGACTTCAGTATCTACATTTTAATACATATAATTTTATTACTATCTCTTTGTAATCGTGTCGTTGTAAATATGTAACAGGTACATTTCGTTTAACATGGATAAAAACAAAATAGCAATGTTGAGAATATTTTGAAATAAGTAATTGTGACCAGGGTTGTAAAAGCAACAATTCTCTTGCAGGTCGTCTCTCTCACTCACACGCTCTTAACTCACAGTGATCTCACTAGTGTAAATCGAGTTTTGGTCGTTTGCCCATTGTCCACTGTATTAAATTGGGTGAATGAATTCAAGATGTGGCTGAAACACGCGGAAACTGACTATGACGTTGAAGTCTATGAACTATCCAGGTAAATATAATATTATTAATAATAATACCACTAGCTGTTGCTTAACAGAAGAATGTCTCGCTGTACTAATAAAATTACATCCTGTTTTAGATTCAAACAGAATTCGGATCGTGCGTACCAATTGTCTCAGTGGTATCAGCATGGCGGCGTTTGTGTCCTTGGCTACGAGATGTTTCGCAATCTCTCGTCGGACAGTAACAAGAAATTTAAAAAGAAAATGCTCAAGAACTTTCAGGAAAGCTTAGTTGATCCAGGTACGAGATACATATATGATCTGTGGTTGTTACCAAGTCTTGAATGCACATATTCTATACCTATTTAGATTTTTTATGAGAAGTATGGAGTTCTCAGGTGTCATATAACACCTAAACGAGATACGCCTTCGACCTATTTTTAGCTTAGGATATTAGAAAATTTACAGATTCAAACCAAAACGCGATTAAACTTTTTAATCTGTGGATCGTGGTTCTTGACCCGAACGGTATTTCTATTTTCCGCCAATTTAATATCTATATCTCTAGACGAAGTCCAACGTGTTTAAGAAAGTGCCCGTGAAACCGTAGATTACTTAATTCTGAAATTTGTAAAGAAAAAAAATCTAATTTAAATCAAATCCCTTAGGTCCGGATCTGGTAGTCTGTGACGAGGGTCATCTCCTCAAAAACGAAAAGACCAGCCTGTCGCAAGCTATGAACAAGGTGAAGACATTGCGACGTATTGTTCTCACCGGAACGCCGCTACAGAACAATCTAAAAGAATGTAAGTAATTACAGATTTTTATTAAAATATCCATCTTATGTATTTGTGACTATTGCTGGAAAAGTGACGTAATTATTACATCCGACACGACCGAAAACATTTTGAATAGAAAAGAAATCTGTAATCGAAAGGTGGGTTGGTTCGAAGATGGGCCTAGTTTTAAGTGTTGAAACTAAACTAGCCTTATGCTATATGTTAGCAGCTTACATACTTCTTTATAATAGAGCAGGACAGGCAAGCATGGGGGTTACTTGATGGAAGGTGAAATATCCCAGCCATATAAGATCCCAATAAGATATGCTCTCGAATTATTAGGGAATCGAAAATCCAGAGGGTCTCCGAAGAGCGATTCAAGACACAGGTTTTTCACCTGGGTGCATAGTTCGGCTGGAATATTTCTTAAATATCCAGATTCCCAGCCGAATTCCAACATATTTCAGAAACATTTTAAATTGGTCAGATGTATGTTGGACCCAGTAACGGAACCCGCGACCGACGTTGATTATTTTATCATTGCTATCATAAGACTACCGAGTCCGTTGACTGAAGTAATATCTAAATGTTGCAAATCTTGTCGATCTGAACCCAGTCTAAGACTGGAACTGTATAGAAGTAGTAAAAAAAAAAACTTAGTAACAAACTTCTATATCTCTATCTCTATATTTATCTATGTATGTTTCTCTGCTATATTTGCAATAATAAATTCATATCTTCCAGATTACTGCATGGTACAATTTGTGAAGCCGAATCTCTTGGGAAAGTACAATGAATATCTTAATCGTTTCGTGAACCCTATCACTAATGGTCAGTACACGGATTCAACGGAACACGATATAAAGATCATGAAGAGGCGGTCCCATGTATTGCACAAGATGCTCGATGGTGCTGTACAGGTATTTTTTCACATTTGTTACAATTTTTAACGCAAAATGTTGCGTTTAAAGGTAAATTATTTGGCAAAATCCGTTTTGAAACTTTGTTCTACTAGTGTTAATGTAACGTCGAAAACCATTTCTTAGCTATGATGGTAGATTATAGAGAACAGATTGAAAACCCGAAGTAGAAAAGAAATAATGTTTAATAGCTCTTGTGAACAAATGAAGTAAAAAAAAGTATTCTTATACAATACAAATAATACACCCATTACAGTTATATACAGTATTTATAATATGAAATAGACTGGGAAAAAGATTAACCACTCAACATGTGAGTGCCCAGTTTTTCGTGGCCTTTGCGGGTTTGAGTGTTTGGCAGTAACAGATAAAAAAAAAGTAATAATACAAGACCATTAACACGGTACATAAGAAAAAGTCAACGTGGCTTACACATTTACTGACACTATTTTTTAATATATTACTGTTAAGGGTAATATACAGAATATAATAATAAAAATAAACAGATGGCGAGCGAGATATAATAATTACAATTTTAAATAGCTATGGTCAAATTTAATATTATTAATTCATATTTCAGAGGCGAGATTACGGCGTACTAGCCCCATTCTTACCGCCGAAACACGAGTATGTTCTCTTTATTACGCTGACTGAGGTTCAAATTAAACTCTACACACACTACCTAGAAAACTATTCACGGAGGTAAGCGAAAACCTTTATTTGTTAAACTAATCGATATATACATGACTATGACTGCTTTCTGGTGTAGCCATATTTTTGACTAGGCTTAATTTCTTTTTTATGTAAAATGTACAATTTCCTATGTTTTATTAGATAAAACGAATTGATGTGAATGATACATTTGTATTGATAACAGATTATCAAATTTTCAGACCGTTGCCTGGAAAGTCTTCAGGTTTCCTGTTCCCCGATTTCCAATCATTACAAAGAATATGGACACATCCACTCGTGTTAAAGTACAATTCGGAAAGATACGAAATTATGCAGCAGAAAAAGGTACGTTTTATTTTATTCTTTGTTTGTATTTATTTGTCTTCTATCATTTTACTTATTTGTCTCAAACAAAATTTTCAGAGGGAAAGAGAAGAAGAGGAAGAGGACGACTCTGGAGGTTCTCTGGTAGACTTCATTGATGATTCCTCAACAGAGGTACTACGTTTTCAAGAAATGATTTTATTATACGCAAAACAGTCATTTTAATCATATTAGTAGTTTGGTAAATTATAACGTTTATTTATAATGTAGAAACATTACATAATCATCTTCTAATCTATTAATGTTGATGCAATTAAAAAACACTAAATAATGTTGTTATGTATATTGTCAATGTCAATTTAATGAAATTAAGCTTAAAAATACTTATTTTCATAGACGAAAAAATACAAATAATATACAAAACTACAACACTGATAAATACTTCTCATGTAACAGGAATCCACAACTGAAGAATCCACGGACGACATGTCAGATATAAGCGATGACAGTCGCAAGAAGAGTAAGAAAAAGAAGTCGCCTAAGAAAAGTAAAAAGCGTGCAACACGACGCGGTACGCGCGCTAACCCGGGTACGTTTTTAAATTAAAAAGGGCTACTCCAACCTTATAAATTAAACATGGATTATAAATTAAAAAAAATACGACACGGGTAGGACTTGGGCAAACATCTAAGGCGTTCCATGCTGTTGCTCTAACCAATTGAGAAATCGAGTCCTCAGTGTCTAATTTTTTAACGTATTGATACAAGCATGTCTCGCGCAATTTAATTACAACCTCAACTTAATTATTATTATGATTTTTGCTATATCAATTGTTCTAATCTAGAATTTGATATTAATTCGGAGATGTCTTGTGCCAAGTTTTGAAGTTACATGTTTTCTGATATTAGTGGAAGCCGAAGACGACGATGTACAAGAGGTGGAGGAAGTTAGGAACGAGAACCCAACGGAGTGGTGGATGTCGCTCGTCAACGAGGAGGAACTAGATGATATGCGGAATTCGCATAAATTAATCTTGCTCTTTGACATACTGCGACAGTGCGAGGCTATTGGAGATAAATTGTGAGTGTTTCCTTTTTGGCATTGTGTACAATAAAAAACAGCTGATGTAAAGTTCTTGGGTTTTCGAGCAGTTCCGCCGTCGCAAAAGGCCCAAGCCCTAAAGTAAGTCTTTGCTTTCGAGAAACATGCAACATCTCTTGATGAAGCATGGAAAATAATTTATCAATTACCGAACGAGTCAGAAACCTTGCTTTACAAAAACGACTTTTTTTTTGTTTTCTTTTTATATATACCTTGTTTTCTATGTTACTATGTTATTGTCACTATATATATATATTAAATTCTATTATTTGTTTCAGATTGGTATTTTCGCAATCTCTGTACTCATTAGATTTGATAGAACATTTTTTGGGAAAAGTAGATGAAGCAACGCAAGAGGCGCGAGTCGACGAAAAGTTGGGGGGGCATGTTGGTAAGTACTTATTTTATTAATTAGAGCTGTGATACAAAAATAAACTTCGAAAATCTAAAATTCACGTTTTGCATCTCTAGGTTCATGGTCACCTGGCATAGATTATTTCCGGCTGGATGGTTCAACGTCGTGTGAAAATAGATCTATTTGGTGCAAGAATTTTAATAGAGAGGATAATCCAAGAGCCAGGTAAATTTAATCTTTTGATTTCGTTTAAAGTATTACATTAAATACAGGTTTTTTTATTCTAATATTTGTTAACAAAACAAATTATTTTGATGTTTACTATACTACTATTATATAATATGTATATTTTAATTAAGTCACATCTAATTTTTATAAATAGTTTTACCTAAGTGTTGTCCTTTAGTTACTTACATTTTTTCAAATAAGTGAAGACTACATTTTTTTTAGTTATAGTTATAAATAATATTGAGAATTTTTCATATTATATTCCTTTTGTGTATTTAGGTTGTTCCTGATATCAACGCGAGCAGGCGGTCTCGGTATCAACCTTGTAGCAGCAAATAGGGTTGTTATTTTTGATGTCTCGTGGAATCCCTCCCACGATGTTCAGAGTATCTTCAGAGTGTACCGTTTTGGACAGAAGAAGCCGTGTTATATCTATCGGTTTCTAGTTATGGTAAGCTATCACAAGTAATAATTTATATTTAAATGAAACACTTTATCCGTTTAAAACGCGAGATATATAATTCAAACTTATTGGAAAATTATTTTAACTATGGCCCTTAGTTTCGGATGGTTTACTGTAGCCTCCCACAGATGAAGAGTGTCTTTAATGTCAAAATAAAAACAGATGGCGCCAGCGTAGCAATTTTTACTGTGTTTTAATTAAATATGTACTACAGACAGTATTTAATCATTTATATTGTTAGATGTTTTTACTTATTAAAGTATGTATTATCATATCCCTTCAGGGCACGATGGAAGAAAAAATCTACGAGCGTCAAGTGACTAAGCAGGCGATATCGAAGCGTGTTATTGACGAACAGCAAATTGACAGGCACTACGCCGAAAACGACCTGGCGGAACTGTACAAGTTTGAGCCTAAACCACCACAGCCCAGGCCAATACCCCCATTGCCGAAGGACAGACTTTTCGCCGAGATGCTAAAGGAACATGAACAATTGGTATTTTTATATATTTTTTCCTTTATTGCAGGATTTTTATAAATTTCTATGAGAAATCACGAGGTCTTTTGTACATCTAAGTTATTAATTTTACTCACTATCGACGTTTCAGATATACAAATACCATGAACACGACTCATTGCTGGAGAACAAGGAAGAAGAGACCCTCACTGAAGAGGAACGTAAAGCGGCTTGGGAGGACTTTGAAAATGAAAAGACTCGTCCACCGCCTGTCCCATTCGCTTCGCCGTATGCTATGCACAATGGAATGAGTATGTATTAGAATTCAATTTGCAATACACAAAATTTTATCAGAATCGGTCGAGCTAATTGACTTTTTGCCCATGCCTGGGCAGGGTCAGGCTTAGCACAGTACACATTAAAACAGTAGCGATAACCGGGACCGACAGCTACTTCCTGTGGGCTGGTACTAGATTGAAAAAAAAAACTATAAAGTATATCACGCCACCTAGGATACGTAACCCAGGATCTTGTATCTATGTATCTTGTAACCATAGTGGTTTGAACTTTAATTTTAGTGTAAATTATCTTTGCTTTGAATAATGATCAATTTGTCTTCTAAAGTGTTGGCACAACAACAACAACTAGCGTTCCAAGCCATGGCTGCGATGCTGCGTAAAGAGGCGCCTAATATTAGTGAGAATCAAGTGCGCGATATGATTCCCCTCTTATATGGTGCTAACCCACAGGTTCGTAACTTCTAGTTTAATTTACAAGTTAATGATTATTATATTAACATAAAAATTTAACAAAAATTAATTTTTAACTGTTTAATCTCTTAATAATGACTCGTCCCATCTATACTTTCTTCTACAATCTATGCCAGTAAAGTAACTAATAATTCTTAATAGTATATAACCACTAATTCTTTTTGATCATCTCGCTAAGTCCCCTCGAACCTTCCTGTTTTTTTAACAAAATTCTGTTATCTGCACCATTATTAGTTTTTCAATGTTAACAATAACATGTACATTGTATGGGTTTTTGATAGAGATAATATTTATCTGTTTAGATGTTCGCAGGATATGACTATGGTGTAAGTTGTTACTAATATTTTAAAGCAAATACTATACTATATTTTAGACGGTGTTGTTTCTTTTGTCATCTTTGCAACCTTTTATTGAAATATAATCAGTGTTTAAATGGTAGTGATAAATATTACATACATTTAACCACACGATAAATTTTAATTAAACAATTTTTTTACAGCTAATACAAAAAATGACCGAAATGTACAAATATCCACAAGCTGGCATGATGAATGCGGGAATGATGAACGCAGTTATGAATCCCGGTATGTTTATAAATCTAATTATGACTATTTGTTTCTTATTTTTATCATTGTACATTTATTCACTTTTTGTCTTGTCAATGTTGTATTAAATTATAATATTTCTTATAAGGTGGAGGAGGTATGCCAATGGGTGGAACAAGTGGTATGCAGTATGAGCCACCCTGGCAGCGGCAACAGCAGATGAGACTGCAGCAACTCATTCAACAACAGAATGTAAGTTGTCTGTTTGAACACAAACTTCAAGAGGTTTCTTCATTTTTGTTAAATATTAAATCATTAAATTTTTAGTTCCTACAATTGATTATATGTATATCTGCTACTTAAAAGGAGGTGCCATATAATATTTACCCCCAATGTATCTGTAATTACTTATATTATGTGTAGCAAATGGGTGCCAAGTACTATGCTGGTGGTCTAGGCAGTCGCGATCCAGTGGCGATGGCTTTACAGCACCAGAGAGCTCGCGAGATGATGTTGGGAGAAAGATCTAGACCTCGTGGGCGACCACCGAATCAAACACCGCGTCCAGCACCACAAGATGTTGTCAATCTTGACTCTGACTAGGTTAATGATTAATTTAACGTCTAAATTTTATAAATAAATGAGTTAATAAGTGATATGTACCTAAAAGACTCATCTAAACTATGAGATTCCCTTCATTGACTATGGTTTTTATATGATCATTAATTTTTCAGACCTTATGGACAAATCAAACTAAGTGTACAGTGAATGATATTAAGGTGCTACGCAGCAAACTGAAGGGGATTTTTAGTGTCGGTACGTGCGCTGGAGTGGGCCAAACTAGGCATTATGTGTAGCCCAGTATTGTAGATTGCGCTACACAACATATCATGAATCTCATTACTTATGGCCACATCGCATTCACCTTAACGTTTTACCTAGTTATATGATAATATGATTACACTTTTTTGAATTTGCTTCACTTATTTGCGTATAGCAGACAACATTCATTTCTACAAGCTCTTAAAATGAATGTCAAATATTTGTGACTAATTTAGGAAAAATACAAAAGATCACTCGATCACAATAATTATATTTAATATCAATATTATGTTCATGACACCAAGGTTGATTATATTTTTACAAGAAGACTTGTACTATATAATTTGGAAAGGCACAGAGCACACCATCAAAATTAACTAGTACATAAAATAATCTCCGTAAGTTTTTTTGTCTAGTTTTCATATTTGAATGTTTTCACTGTGATAATTTTAAATCAAAATTAAATTCAATAAGGAAATGGGCGTTTACAATTTTAGGAAAGAAATTTTGCCAGTCTTGAATTTATAGATATTCCAAGAAATTCCAATGCTTCGTTGTAAATAATATGAATAGGAACAATTGTATTTTAACTATGCACTAATTCAATTTATTTGAACCCAAAACCTGTATTCAAAAGGTAGTATTCTAGACATATTTTTGTAATACAAAAGAACAGAGGTCAAAATGTAACAAAACTATGTGTTGAACAATTAAGCCAATTTAACAAATGGTAGGTACTTTTTGAATACAACATTTCTCTTGGAAAGGAATTCGTTAAGTGTTTGCTTAATAAATTACTATATGGTATCCCAGTACAGGAAATTAGTGTTAAGATAATATAATTGTTGTAGTTGTAATAATGATTCGGGATTATCCTTTAACTGTGCAATTGTATAGTTTGCTTATGTGAATCTTTGATAGGTTTAAATGTGTAAGCTGGGATGCAATGACAAAAGTTTATTTCAAATATCTTTATTCTATAGTTATGACATGTGAACTGGACTGAGTAATTTTGTGTTGCATTTCATTATTGTGTTTGCCACGTTTCCCTTTTTAGCTATATTGTAATCCTATTAAATATTATTATTATTTCTATTAATATAAATTGGACAACCATGATACTTGACTCAAAATGCAGCCTATGCTAGACTTAGCAAATATTAAAAATATATATCTTGCTGACACAGCTAAATACAAATGTGGCATACAAGTTAATGCAATGAGGACTATGTTGTGAGTAGATTAACTGAATGTGATTTGTTAAGAACTATTTATTTGGCTCAAACCAAGGGCGGTTTAGTTGTGATATCACTTATTCTAACATTTTGTATACGTTTATTTAAACATGTCACTGCTGTGACTTTAATTTCACTCGACAACTATCATAGTTACATAGCAGTACATTGGCTATTTAAGTCTTTTAGAACCTAATATGTGGCATTTTAAATGTTCATTTTTTTATGTTAGTTACATGATAATGATAAAATCTAATTGTAATATTTTTAAGTTATACATTTTTTATGAGCAGTATTTGAATTAGGTAAGTAATTTACAAATGTAATTTTTGTTAAGGTATCTACATTGCAATAGGTTTTATTATTTTCGCACACTGTGAAGAAACCTTCACTATAATAGTATGTATCATATTATATTGTATAATGGTAACCGTAGAAGACTTCCTATTATTTTGTAGTAAAATTGAGAAGTAATAAATAAAGAAAAAAAATGTATGTAGTGTTTTAAAGACCTTTACATCATATATAATTGATTCACACATTTAAGTTAGGTATTCCTGTCCTATTGCCAATGGATACTTCAATATAATTTAATAACCTTTGTGCTAAAAACTCAGCTTCGTGTCTGTTGCTAGTATTTGCAGTCATTATATCTAAATTGTTCTCTTTGCAAAATGATATCAATTCACTACCATTTACAGCTGTCATATTAGCAGATAGGCCACTTGAATTCACAAACACTACTCTTCGTATTCTTAATGCAGGATGGACTTGCTCCAGTGATTTTTTCATCCAATCAATACAGAACATTCTACTAGTATCCAACGCTATTACAATAAAATCAATTCCTATTTTTCCTGTGATGTCCGATTGCTGAATTATATTGTCCAACTCTGTACATCTTAAAACACTCAATTTCCAGTGATGGTTGTGCTTATTGTGGATATCTATCAAAGCTTCTGATATATTCTCGACTATGTGAGCATCAACTGAGAGAACCACAATAGTTAAGCTATTTCTACAATACGTTTTGGCTACCCATGGCACGGTATTCACTTCATCTACATAAGACATTATAATGTCACAAGATAGAAAAGAAAATATTGAACGAATTAGAAAATATCAAGCGCAGCTGCACGGGTTTTTATAATATTGATAAACATCGGTTACGAAATTCAAATTTGACAGTGACAATTGACATTTTTTGGGAGCTGTTTTATATAAACAAGAGTAATACAATTAGCATCGATAATTAGATAAGATTATGAGCATTTTTTACCGCCTTTTGGCATATCACACAATTTTAATTTGTGCATAATCACTAAAGTAAACACTCGTTTAACTATGTTTACCCTTAGGTAAGCTTAGTAGTTAAGCTTAGACCGCTTAAAAAATCTGATTAACATTATATAAAAAATAAAAATTAAGATGAGAAGACGTGATGAAAATTTTCCTGATAATGGATTTGAAGCATGGGGTGGATATATGCAAGCGAAAATTCAAAAACTGGAAGAACAGTTTTCTTCAAACCTCTCTAAAGAAAATCAGATTTCAAATATTTTCAAAGGTGTAAGTATCTTTGTAAATGGATATACAACACCATCAGCTGATGAATTAAAAGAGCTAATGCTTAAACACGGTGGTATTTATCATACATATCAAAGAAGTGAAGATTTTGTTATTGCTTCAAACCTGCCTGATACTAAAGTAAAAAAAATGTCCTTAGCCAATGTAGTTAGACCAGAATGGATAATTGACAGTATAGATGCAAATAAAGTATTAAATTACAAAGATTACTTACTTTATTCTAATAAGAAAACACAGCCTAAGTTAAATTTTAATAAGGGCATAGTATGTACACATGAAACAACAGAAGAATTTGGAACAAAAAATGAAAATAATCAAATATCCTCAACTGCAATTAATATACCAAATTTAATTGAATCTAACTCTAAAATATTAGATACTTCAAACATGCAAAATGAACTTAAATCAAATGTCACTAAAACAGCAGTTGATCCAAATTTTATATCAGAATTTTACAATAACTCAAGGCTTCATCACATTTCACAATTAGGAGCTCATTTCAAACAATACATTAATGATCTGCGAGAAGAAAGTGACTTCATATTTCCAGCTCAAGTTGATTTAAGTGCCAAAATAAGAGGTTTAAATAATAATAGTACTTACAGTATGAATTTTGAATATAATAAAATAATAATGCATATTGATATGGATTGCTTTTTTGTTTCTGTTGGTCTAAGAAAACACCCTGAATTAAGAGGGAAACCTGTGGCAGTTACACATTCAAAAGGAGGGGTGAGTCAAACCAAGAGAACGGGAGTCAATAGAGCTGTAGAGTTTGGACTTTACAAACAAAAACAAAATGATAAATTGATAAAAGCCGGTGTTTCTATCAATGAGACAAAAATTACAAGCAGAGTAGACAATATAGGTGATGAAGATGACAAATTTGGCTCAATGAGTGAAATTGCCTCTTGTTCTTATGAAGCAAGAGCTAAAGGAATTACTAATGGTATGTTTATGGGAGCAGCCCTAAGACTTTGTCCAGATCTTCAGACTATTCCTTATGATTTTGAAGGGTACAAGGAAGTAGCACATACCTTATATAATACAATAGCTCAGTACACCTTAGATATTGAAGCTGTTTCTTGTGATGAAATGTATGTCGACTGTACAGAGCTATTGAAAAATTTAGGAGTTAGTGTTGAAGATTTTGCAACAATTTTACGACAAGAAATAAAGGAAAAAACTGGGTGTCCCTGTTCTACAGGGTTCGGCGGAAATCGCCTACAGGCGCGATTGGCAACAAAGCAGGCTAAACCAAATGGTCAATTCTTTTTAACTGCAAATCTTATTGAACATTTTATGGTTGACATAAGGCTTAAAGATTTACCTGGTGTGGGAAGGCAAACATCCCAAAAACTGGAAGCCCTTGGCCATCACACATGTGGCCAACTACAATCAATGACTTTGGCTAGCTTACAACAACATTTAGGAAACAAAACTGGTGCTCAACTGTTTGATCAATGCCGTGGGCGAGACAGAAACTCTTTAACATTTTACACAGTAAGAAAATCTGTTTCTGCAGAAGTTAATTATGGCATTCGTTTTGAGACCAATGATCAGTGTTATGAATTTCTTAAACAACTTTCCCAAGAAGTTCATTCAAGAATGCAGCAATTTAAAGTTTTAGGTAAATGCATCACCTTAAAGCTCATGGTCAGAGCAGAAAATGCTCCACTAGAAACAGCAAAATTTCTTGGCCATGGCTTTTGTGATACAGTAAACAAGTCTACATCTTTGGCTGTGGCCACTAACAGTTTTGAAGTAATATACAAAGAGGTTCTATCATTGTGTAAAAAATTAAAGATAGATCCAAAAGAAATGAGAGGGTGTGGCATTCAAGTAACTAAATTGGAATCAAAAAACTTGAAACAAGGTACAAAAGGTGCTCTAAGCAAATTCCTAACAAATATAACAAAAAATGAAAGCAAAGAGCACATTACACGCAATACATCTGAAAACATAGTAACCCCTAAACTTGAACAACAAATACCTAAAACAAATTCTATATGTTTATCGCCTAAACAGAAATCCCCAATAATTGGATCCACTCGATCTCCTAATAAAAAGAGAGGGAGACCCCCTAAAAACTCAAAGGCTGTAAAACCTGGTCATGCCAAATCAATAAATCTTTTGAATAAATTTTTACAAGGTGTACCGGGAAGTAATGAACTAAATGATAAAAAAGAAGATCCAATAAAAGTGGTCCAAATTGAAAAGCACCAAACAAAAGAGAAACATGGCTTGCTTGGTTTGCCGTGGCAGCAAGTTAGAGAATTACTTAGAGCTTGGTTTGACAGTGGACAAACACCAAATTTCTGTGACATTAATATGGTAGCTGCCTACATGCAAGAAATGATATTTAATAAAAATATAGATACAATGTACATTCTCATAAATTTTTTTAGAAGACGTATTAAAGAAATGGACAATCAAATTTGGCATGATGTACAAGTCTATGTCCTAGAACAAGTGCAAAATACTATGATGGCTGTTTATAAAAAGAAATTATATTTAGGAAACGAGTAATGTGCCTACAGAGTTATAATACAAAATACGTGATAAATAAAACAAGAAATAATATTCTCATTACATTTATTTCGTCTAGTTTGTGTATGTTCTATTTTTAACTACAAATAAAAATGTTGTTTCATATAACACAAGATATGTCATATAACTGTCCTAACAACTAATTTAACACAAAAGGCCAAAGATATACAGAAAGGTTTGTTGAAATAAGGCAAGTATGTTTAAAAATAGTATAAAATTGCTTTTCATACATATAGTACTTTTAGTTAGTAGTTAAATAAAATATGGATGTATACGGCTGTATATTATGTACTTTAAAAATGGCAGTTAGTATCACTGTTAACATAAGCGTATACAACACATTAATTAAAATGCAAGAGCATATTAAGTTTGGACACAATTCGTTTTAGCTGGGATTTTGGATCTTACTAAAGTTCCAATTTAAGTAGACCTTTACAAATTTATTATCACAGATGCTTGATTGCAATTACAGTATTGACCCAATATTTATTTACACCGCAAAGTAAAGCTTTTATTTATACAAAATAGCTATTTATTATAAAATTATAGGTATAGGGAATTCATAAAGAATTTATAAGTTCACACAGGGCACGATATATTGTGACGAACGTATTAACACATGATTTAGAAGTACCGTAATTTTGTAAGAAATCTACAGCTACTATTATAAAACTAATGTACTAAAAAAAAAAAAACATTTTATCACGCTTTAGTTTTCAAAATTTTCAAAGTACTCAGAGGTGATTGAGAAAGTTGGGTTAATAAATTGTAATTTAGACTAGAATTTAGGTTTCTTATCACATACAGATTGTTTTGCATGATGCATTCATAACAAAGACACAAAGCATAAAATTAAAATTACACGTTAAGGTGATTCCAAAACTGATTGCTGAATGCTCTACTGCATTGGCACAACATGAAAATAAAGAAAAAGTAATTCTTTCATTAGTCTTAGCAACTGGCAAATTTTATTTTCGTCAAAACGACTTTGTGTAAAAATCTACAATATAATATGAATTTCTCTTATCTTAATATTTTGAAAGAGATTTGAGAGTTATAATAAAAGTACAGTGGCGCCCTCACGCGGTTGAATTGGCAGATACAGAGTGTTTTAACTTAGAATCTATAATAATTTCATCGCCCGAGCGGATGTTGTAGGAGTACAGTTGCTTCGTAGGGTATTTCATTTCTTCAGGTCCCTGAAAGCGAAATTTGTAATTTTATTTTCTTTGTTCGCGGATAATAATTTTAGTAATGACAACAATAATTAGGTATATTAATGAACCTCAATTTTATTTTTTATTTTTATAATAATTTTCCTTAGTTACAAATTCTATTAAACTTAGTCGTTTAAAATAGTTGTAACAGGCAATATCTTGGCAGACAAATGCCATAGTTATGTATGTACATGTCATGTGTAATGCAACAATAAAATTACATATAAGACATCGCAAATAAATCTATACGAGTTGTTGAAGAAGTTTACAAATTTAAGATATATTTCACAATTGTACCTACACACCTGTGTATCTCTCAGCTCTTGGTCCACGTAGAACAACCTCATTTTTGAAGCTGGAAAACCTGCAAGCCGCTCCAGTCGCGACTTTAAGTCAGATACAGTCCTGGGTGATATATAAAACAGTTAAGTACTTTGTGCTAACAATATATTGAGACATGAATGTTTTGGTTCCATGCCCTATGTGGGAAACCGGATTTTAAAACCAAAAGATATAAGGTTGATGGTATATACTTTTGGTAAATAGAGTATTTATTCCTTTTGGAGCAATTAGTACACTTAGATAAAATATACCTATATACATCGACGGTTCTAACTTCGCTGGTGTCACCGCAAGTAAAAGTTATCTGGACTCGCTTCTCAGGCCTCAAGTCAACAGACACCAATGGGTCCAGCTTACCGTGGACACCCACCAACTCCCAATACCTGAAATAATATTTTACACCATCATCAGAATGAGAAGTATTTACAAGTTCCGTTATAGTTGACTGATGACACCCGAATGTTATATACGTTTGGTTAAGTGAAAGGAAAGTTGAAAATATAAATTGTTTGTTTTAATCGAAATGTACACAAATATATTCCTTTAAGGGCAGCGAGAGATGCAAACTTCCTCTTGTAAATACTTGGGCATTTTTACGCTATAACGAATAACTATTTGTATTTAATTTTTATTCTCTCGTTTAGACCGAATATATGTAGTCCTTTCCTCGCCGTTGGTGCGCGAACTGCCTGAAGCAATTTCACATGTCTACAATAAATTAAATTAAAGCATAATCAAACTAGACTTACAAAATTGTGGTTGTGTTATCTTTGCCTATAAACAATCATTTCTCAATTTTCGCAACGCACGCCTACAATTTCCATTTATGAAGAGCCTTCGACAAAATCAATAGGTACTTAATTAAGTCCATTGTGTTGTGACACGAATGTCTTGACTATCAACAGTTTTGGTTGAGATTAGTTATCTGTAGATATTTCTTGTCTGCGCAGGTATTATTGCTTCTACTAAGTATGTATTCCTTGCAAAGCTTTGTGTAATTTAAAAGTCGAAAATAAAATGAAAAATTTTTCGACTCGGGCAGGACTTGAACCGGCATCGTCATCGTTCCGTGCTGTTGCTCTGGAACGCTGACGATACCGGTTCAAGTCCTGCCCGAGTCGAAAATTTTTTCAATTTATTTTCGATTTTTAAATTATATAGCGCCTTCATGTGCAACATGTAAAAAAGAAAAAAAATCAAAGGTTTGTGTAGGTACGTTGTTATAATACTATATGTTGAATAAGGTTACAAATTAAGTGATTTAAAGTATTTTATAAGCAAACAGCGACTTCGTCGCGTGGGCACTCGATACTTTGCGCAACATAATATTGTGTTCATTCAAAAAACCGTTTTTATAAAATATAGTTTTACCCACGATGTCGTCCGCGCCCCACCGTCCTTGCTAGTAATTTTAAAAGATAGTTAGACTTAGAGACATACAGTCATGGACATTTTTTTAGACGATTTCAAGAATAAGTTATAAATAAGTATTTCTTTGGGTCAACTAGCACAAAAATAATGTTTCAATCCGAACCTCTTCAGCTTTATAATATTAGTATATTTCTCTTAATTGATGATAATCGGTAATAAACACTACTAAGCTAAATAGTTATTGCCTATTTATTATTTGTTAAAAATAAAAGCGTCCACAATTCGGTTTAAATGAATAGATTAAAATACTGAATATCTTGCCTTACCGGTCAGGTCGATCGGCTTCCGGTTTCTCCATATAATATCTAATAAAAGCCCGTTCAGCCGCGTCTCTCTCTTCAGGGGGGACAGCACCACCACCGTTCAGTGTCCTGACGTGAGGCAGTCTGGCGACGAGGAGGAGTCGCCTCTCGTGTTCCGTAGATTCTACACGCTCCCATAGTGGCCAGCCCTGGAATATAAAAGACTTTTAATTATTGCCTGATTATAACTTGAAGCGTGTTTATTAGATTTGAAACATGCAGGCTACATATTGTTTAATTGTATGTCTTGTCAGCATAATCGCAAACAATTTAATGGGACTGTCATTGACAGAGACCATAATTATGAGGAAATTTAGTATTATTATATATAAAGTTCCTAGAACACAAGTAACGTCTATACTAATATTATATAGCTGGAAAGTTTGCTTGTTTGTTGGCACGAGCTAATCTCAGGAACAACTAGTTCGAATTGAAAAAAAAATTTTGTGTTGGTTAGAGCATTTATCGAGGAAGGCTATGCGATATAAAAAAAATATCGCAGTTTGCGCACATGCAGCATTTATTTTTTTGGGTGTCTTAAACGCTGCGAAAGCGGTTTAAGACACCCAAAAAAGAGTATGGAAGAATGATTTCTCTTGAAATCATCTAGAAAATTGTCCTCTACATCATAATTATGTCATCTTTTAAGATTAACTTGTGAGAACGACGTGACGCGACCGATGTGGTGGGTAAAAGTTTGGATGCCCAAAATAAGTATTCCACGCGGACGAAGTCGCTGACACAGCTAGTATTTAATGACAAATGAACACAAGCAATTTCCTACGAGCCCTAAAAATATAATCAACACAACCATGACCCACGTATAAATTCACAGATCCTTTAAAAGGATAACAAAACAGGTGTCATCAGAGATCTTGTTTACTGAATTAAGGAGTCACGACTCTAGGAGTCATGCCCTTGTACGTATCAAATTATACTTTTAAACGAACGGACTTATTGAATCGGTTTTTTTTAAATCCAAGGTTTCGTTCACTTTCTATATAGGGAAGTCGTTTTTATTGTTGAAGAGTAATTTGTTTTGGAATATGTAAGGCTCGTTTTTGCCTTCTTTTCATAATGATGATATCATTAGTATGGCTAGTTTTTATAGAGGCGATATACGATGGTAATAAAATACCAATTTAGTGCATATAAAGATGTTACTTATATATGAAGTAATATTTCGTTAGTGATTGCAATTAAAAATGGTATATTTTTGTTTACTTAGTATCACTAAGCTTCTACAGTTGAATTACTTAGTTTAGTAATACCCTTTATTGCTAATTGCTAATATAAATAGTAACTTACCCAAATACTGTCTATAATTTACGCGAGTAGTACACATTTAAATAAAACACTCTAACGGTTTAAAACACGGTTTAATAATTATTAAAGTGTTTTATTTAAATAGTAACTTACCTATAAATATAATTACATATTAAATAAAAGTAACGTGTAGCGGATATATTACCAAGTATAGGTTTCTACGTACATCAATAAACAACTATGTTAAAATTTGTATTTACGTCATAGAAATTTGTAGTTTACTATCAATCCACTAATTCTTTCCTTTTGCTTTGTTTATTGTTTCTTTACGTCATTTCATTTATATAGCTATAGGATTGACTAGATAGTATATTTCTATCTATTACTATAGTTTTTTTGCATGACCTTCTAGATATACCCGAAAGCGGACACGGAAGAACTAATTCAACAATCTATTTAAGTGCATATTACACATACTTAGCAACATAGGAATTTGTGATTACCGTATTTAATTGAAGGACGAAATGTCTTGTACGTAATTAAGTAACCGTTGATTTAATTAAAATAATTGCTTTGTTCAGTGACAGGCATCAAAGGAGAGTGATTTAATCCCAATTAAAGCTGTAATTATGGGAATCAAACACGATTTTAACTGAACAAAGTCTAGTTATGATATCGTCTGTTGGAAAGTCTAGACTTTACATTCTACTACATCCGTTACACTCTTTGTTGTCTGAGATTAAAGCGGGCCATTTTACTTATATACTAAACTTAAGTTCTTAATAATAATTGTTTTGTATACGTCAATGGTCTACCATGGTTTGGCTATATGTATACTATAGTAGTCATTTACCTACTAGGTTGCTATAAGTCAGTATAGACGACTTAACGTGTTTAAACATGAATACATATCTATACCCAGTGTTGCCTCTATTTTGGACAAGTATGATTGTTAATAATAATAATTCGGAAATTTTAAAATATATTAAAGCATCAAATAAACTATTTAATCTACATGGTTTGTGATGGGAACTTAAAGCGTATAGAGAAAAAAAGGAAACGCGTATAAGCGTGTGGTTTACTTAATGGTAGGTGAAATATCTACGATCTAAACAAGATGTTGAAATATTTTAGCTTTGGACATTTGGAAATCCACACACTGAACACGAAACGCGATTAAGCTAGACGGCTTTTTCACTTTTGGGCAGTGGTTCGGGGCCCGGACGGCGTTTAGATATTCCTACCACCCATTTACTGAACAGATTTCCAGGCGAAGTCCAACATGTTTATTTTCTAATCAATTTTTAAATTTAGAAAAATCAATTGAATATTAGCCATACATTGCAATTGTTTTTAGTTGAGGATTTTTACGTCTGTTTTGGTTAATAGTACCTACGGTGAAAGCTATTTCCGTGAACAGTTGAAGGGTGCTTGGCCAAATTTAATGCACCTGCACTCTCTCTCTTTTCCTACCAGACCCCCGTTTTTGTTCCGTGAAATGGTGATATGCAATTCGAACGTAAAAATTTTAATTTCGTTCCAAGCAGTAACGGATCCGTTCTGAATCATTAACTGCGCTATCGATTCTGTGTCAGCTGTAAGCGGCTTAAACATTGACAGTTCCAATAAAATATTAATTGTTTGTGTGCATTTTAAAAACATTTTTCGGTTCTAACTATTCTATTTAAAACTCATTTAACTAAGTTACTAGCGATAGTTAAAATACGAGTTTCGCGTAGTTTTTACAATAGCTGTTACACACGACGTCGGTCGCGGCCCGTCGTTCTTGCAGGTTGATAGATAGATTATACTGTCGCGGACGTATTTTTACATAATTTAAAAAATTAATCCTTTAAATATTTTTTGGGTATCTAGAACCGCGCAGGGCACGCAACGGAAACCTTCCAAGATATTTTCTCGTGTTTTTTTCTATTTTTGGTCTAAGCGTGATCTTTTATAGCCTATAGCCTTGTTCAATAAATGCTCTAACCAGCACAAAATGAAATTTCAAGTCGAACAAATAGTTTGTGAGATTAGCGCGTTCAAATAAATAAACTGCAGCTTTATAATATTAGAATAGATTTTGGTAATAACAATACAATTTTTGTATCTAGCCAAGGCGGTTAAGTCCGTTTTATAATTAATTGATTATCATATATATCACTTTTATTCGCATGTCATAGATATTTCTACTACTACTACCACTTATAGATTCTTTGATAGTGCGATACAAACTCTACTTTTAATATATCGCTTCGATTATCCCACGTTGGTACCATAATTAAATACTGCGAAACTCCGTGAAAGGCAACGCTGGTAATGTCTTCCTTATTTTGCGTTACTTCACACTGCAGTCGGCGAAGGCACAAAGGCCTTTAAGTCTGTAGTACCAACTACCAACATAGCTATAAGTGCCTTAGAGTGTACCAACATAACACATGAATATCTAGACATACTCTGTTCATTTGTTTTGATTATTGTACATATATTTTATGATAGCTTGTTAAAATATTATATGCACGAATATTCTTTCTCCAGTAATTGTAATAGGCACATTTAGTAGTCAATTAGCAATAATGTGAGCAAGAAGTTGTTTTTATTACATTTTTAAATAAAAAATAAAACCCTATAACGGTTTAAAACGCGAAATATAAACAGCTACTGCTTTGACATTAGAGACACACATCTTTTGTCTCCCCGTGACCCCTGCTGCAAAGCATCCTATACGTTGGGGCGTAGTTAATTCTGGAATAAGTTTAACTAATAAATCCGCATTTTAAACCGTTAAAGTGTTCTATTTAAATGTGTACTCGCGTAAACTACAGACAGTATTTAACTTATTATACACGATAACTATGCTATTCTAGGAACTCTCTTAACTGAATCTAACGAATTACCATTTTCGTAAATCAATAATGGAAGAACGACAGATAACATGACGTAATATGACATTAACATCGTTATATCCTCAGCAGCAAGCTATGAAAGTAAACTATAAAATTCTAATGGCTTTCGATATCTTCACGTTTTGTTTACGTGCAAGCCCTACATTTCCTCTATTCAAATTCTACAGAGCACAGCTGAGAGATTTTAATAGTTACGTAAAACAAGAAACACTTTATAGTGAGGACTCAACGAATTGAAAGAAAAGCTTTCCGCTCCTAATCCATTAAATGGATACGTGTACCACACGTTAACAAAAGTGAACAACAACATTTGCATTTTCAATCATAGCTGTGGAGTTAAGAATATGCTCTATGAAATTGTACGACGCAGCTGTATGTCTATACTCTTCGTGTAAGATATTCAATAAAGTAGATGTAATATTTTATAGTTTACTATTGTATAGGACTATCGATGTTAATAAAAAAATCGTCCCGTCGTCGACTAGGTAATTGACAGTCGGTAGGTACACAAGCATATTGCAGTTTTATTTAATTAAATATTATAGTGACTTAAGTAGTTTAAATAAAACACTTTAACAGTTTAAAACGCGATATATTAGTTAAACTTATTTGAAAATTATTTTAATCTTCGGCCCGACGATTCGGATGCTTTGCAGCAGCCGTGGTCACGGGGAGACCGAAGTTAAAAATCTACTACTCGCGTAAACTATAGACGGTATTTATACAAAATTTATTAAGTAAAACGGAAGGTCTTGTGTCTGCCCTATGACCCACATATTATTTACTACCTGTATCAGCGACTACGGCCGCGTAGAATAGTTATTTTGGGCATCAAAATTTGTTAAGAGGTTTTTTTAGATAATTTAAAGAGAATAGAGAATAATTTTTCCTTACAAAGCAAGAGAAACCCACAAACATGAATAAGCCCTTTTCAATACATGCTCTAACCAATACAAAAATAATTTTAGAAATCGAAGCTGTGGCGTCTTCAAAAAAAACTATGCATTCAGCTTTATATATAAGTATCGGTTTTATTCGATATTTAAAAATGTATCTAATTTTCCTGCAGTCTTATGCAATGTGCGCCTAATCCGCCGTGTCACTAGGACAAAGGTGAATACGTAATGTGAAACGTGTGGTCCTGTCTTGTAATATACTAGGGGGAGATCTGGGTCATCGCCGTTACCAATACTGCTCTATATTTATATAAATGGAGGTACATGAAGTCCTTTTATGAACCTCGAATGCACATAACTGTAATCTATACCAACTAATATAGAATTGAAGAGTTTGTTTGTTTTTTTGAATGATCTAATCTCAGGAACTACTGATTCTAGTAAGAGTCGCGCTGCGACTAATAAGAGCGAAGAAACAGCGGGATATGTGGAGAAAACGGGGAAAATTATTCATCTTTGTGTGTTTCCGCTGCGAAACCGGTTTAAGATACCCACAAAATATGAAAGAATGTTTCCTCTTTAAATGAACTAAAAAAATGTCCGCGACCCTATATGAGACGTGACCGACATCATTGGTAAAGGCTTAAGTTTAATTTTATAAAAATGGAGGAGGTTTGCTTATAAACCAAATTCGGATGCCCAGAATAATTATTCTACGCGGACGAAGTCTCTGACACAGCTAGTTACTTATAAAATCAATTACTCTTTATCATCCTGGCTTTGCTGGTATTGTAATTTGAATAAAAAATCACCAATAAAGAAAAACCAATATGGAGAGAGTTCGTAGAGGAAAAAGAAAGAAATAGTCTAAATAGGTCGAAGTAGATTTTTTTTTCATTTTTGGGACTAAAAGTAACATGAATGATATCTTAGCACGTCGATTATACTATTTGTTCTCATAACAACGCCTCATAACGCGTGGGGGTACAGGTCGGACGTTCGTTGGTCCCCGTGATTCATAAGTAATAACAACTTGTACAAAGGTAATCATTCGATATACTTTACATTTAAAAGGTATGATCTCCGTTGCAATACCAGTCTCCAATTTATAAGGCTCGTTTATACCGGACAATTTAAAAAAAAAAGCATCTGCCTTCTCAAAATAATTTGTTGTACTAATAAGACGTTATACTAATATTATAAAGCTGAAGAGTTTGTTTTGTTTTTTTTCAACGCACTAATCTCAGAAACTACTCGTAGGAATTGAACAACTATTCTACAGGAACGAAGTCGCTGAAACAGCTAGTATATTATAAAATCGATGGTAGGTAATTTTTTTTCTGAGTGTTACCCATAGATTCTGTTAGATTCAAACGGACAGAGAACAGTGTTCACTGCCGTGCCTTTCAGATTCTGTAGCTCGCGACACTTTTAATTAAGTGACAGTAGCCGTGATATTCCCCGCTCTCAAAACAAAGAACATTTACGTAGTATGCCTACTAGGGCAATATTAAAGTAGTTACGCCTTTCAGGCTTAGGCACTTTGTAAATTAGTTTTTGAGCTAGCTTTTTTCTTACGGCAGCGTAGATAAAAAAATAACATATTGACGCCAGAACGTTAAATAATAAGGAAAATGTGATAGTGTTATTATTAACATTGTGTAAGGTAACACAGCGTTTAGCGTTATACAACAACCATGTCCTTAGCTATCAATAAGAAATAAAACCTTCGTTAGACCATGCGAGCATTTTATAAAATTGAAATATATGGACATATTACCAGTACCTAACAGATATTCATTTTCAAGGTAGAATAATACTTAGAACTAAATGTAATGCAATCGCAAACGCAGATTGCCAATTTAAATCCATTAAAACCAGACCGCTTAAGACGAAAATAGTACTTTACTTTACTCTTCTTGTGTACTCCAAGGGAAACATATCTAAATAGTTTGTCTAGCATATATTAATATTTTTTCATTAGCTAGCCGCAAAACACAGCTTCATATAACGGGCTTAGTATAATTTCCGCGTATTCAAGGTTAACAGGTTTAGTGTTTATTATTTTAAGATCTGGTACCTATAAAAATGAATTACGTACTCAGTATTACAAGCTACAATTGAATTTAATAATACAAACAATATGACGTATTTTTTTAAATAAACTATTGTTTTATGAGTAAGTAACTCACCTGTACAATGTATACTTATGTATAATATGGGCTTATTTAATATGATAGTTTATTTTTATCAACACAGAGCTTAGCGTCTAAGGAAAAAAGATTTATTTTTGAAACCAACTTGTGTTTACTAATGTCTTTGTAAAGAGCCCGAATGCAAACTATAATTTTTCGATTCTGTCATGACGAAATGTTCGGGGTTACTCCGTCAAGATTACGCAAATGCTGGCACTAACTAGGCCAGAACTAAAACGGGAAGACCTTCACCCGCTTATGATCCCGGGTCTCCCAAATGTTATACGAACGAACTAATACACACACGTCTAATAACGAAGTTTAGAAAACAAGGTATGATTTCGGATTTGGTGCAAAAGAAATTATTGGAGCATGCAAAAAAAATTCTAAACACTTTTTCTAGTTTTTAGTATGATTTTATCATTTATATCAAAAATAGTAGCCACACTACTACACAACATACAAAATTACTATTAATAATGCGTTAATGTGATTTTATAAAGTTCTGGAACTTTGATAATAAGTCAAAGTAAAAATACAAGTATATATGATGTGATGCAAGTGACATGATGCAAACATTACGAGTTCACTTCGGTTAAAGGTACCTTCGACTTATCTCTAAATAAGCTCACGTACAGACGAAAACAACTTCTAAATAAAGTTTAGAAAATTAAGAAAAAATATAGTAGTAATATTTTTTACCTGCACTCTTAAACTTTTTAACGCGGGAAATTTCGCAAGCCTATCCACTTCATCCCATGTTGCTAATCCCGTGTTATTAAGATTCAGGAAGCGAAGGCGGCTGTGAAGTAAACACTCGATAAGTTTTATTACACAACGCTTTGAGTCAAGTTCAGTGGGTCAATATATTGTGCGCTTATCTAAAGCCAACCATATGACAGTGTCATCACAATTTATCCAATTAATAATATATAGCATTAGGTACAACAATTATTGGTAATAAAAAATGAGTAAGCCAGATCGTTTTCTCTGGCCTAGAAAGGGGGGGGGGGGGCATAATAAAAAAAAACACTTTGTCAACGATATAAATCAAAAATCGATTTTAGATTAGAAGAAAATTACGACACGGCAATTACGGCCTTGAACCGGCATCAGCAGCGTTCCCTGCTATTACTAACCAATTGATTCCTAATTGTAGGACATGGTCTATACGTCATCGTCGAATTTTTTCAACCAATTAATATATGCACCCCTCGCGCAATGCATTTTTAACCTTGGCAATTGCGAATTAAGGTTCATGTTTTATGCTTGTCAAAAATATTTAAGTCTTCAAAATTTTTCAACACTTACGGGAAGGCGTCATGACTCTTCTTATTTCCATTGCTATCATCACATTTTTCGCACGGATCCGGCTCCAGTGTGGAAAGGTGGCAGTCATTCACGAGAAGGGTCTCCAAATTTGGGAACGCATAACCTAGCTTCGAAACTTCGATCCAACTGTTCACAGGGTTCCCGGAAAAGTGAAGCTTCTTCAGTTGTTGGTGGACCGGTTCGGTCTGGTCACATCTCAATCGGGCACATTCTTCGCATCGATCTTTCTCATTCACTTCCTTACCGCTTAAATCGACGTACGAATACTCATTAAGACTCAAATGCAACTCTTCCAGAGCTGGTAGAGCTTTGAGTAGACCGAGCACGCTTGGCCATCCAACATAGGTAGAATTCAGTACGAGGTTGCTGAGACTATCCCAGCGAGGATGTAGGGCCTGTGCCGCTTGAATTTGAGCAGACAGCCGATTGAAACTCAGATTAAGAAACCTCACCCGAGGAGCTTGCTCCAGTATCGCGAATACCTAAAAATATGGAAGAATCCAAGAATCCAATGAACACATGAATCACCCTGAAGCTTGAATGCGAAGCTGCAAGAATTTTATAAGCGGCATCGCATTGTCAACGATAATTGCCATTCGAAACAATTAAGAGCCCTGAACTTGAAAGCATTCAAATCTCAAGGTGAATAAATTCCGTAACGTACCGCCTTTAAATACAAAACTTTTAACGGCTTAAAAAGTGAAATATATCAGTTAAACTTATATTTACTAACTACGAACAGACGTTTTGGATACTTTGCAGTAGCCGGGGGTCCCCTGGGATACTAAAGATGGAGGGCATCCCCGAATGTCAAAGTAAAAACTGCTTCGTTAGCGCCTTCTATTCCGTCGTATTAGGCTAAACTGGCACATTTTAAACCGTTATAAGTGTATTTAAATGTGTACTACTCGCGAAAACTACAGTCAGCACTTAACGTACCTCCTCCCAATCGGTAAGCTTATTGTTTGCGAGATCTAGTTCTACGACATCTGCGCACTTATCGGCCAGCACTGTTGCGTCTCCAGCGCAGTCTATATCACAATCGTTGAGCACTAGAAGCGTAGGCACACTCAGTCTCGGGGATCGTTTAGGCACAAAAATAGCTACGGGCATGTCATCTATTGAAGGGTTCACCTCCCCCTTAGCACCATACTTTCGCTCGAGGGCTTCTAAGAGCGACGGCATTTTGAAACTGTTGACAATAGAAACGAGAGTTACACAATGGTAGGCTGATGTTTAATATACATATAATATAGAGTGTAGTTTGTAGAAGAGTTCAATTGTAAGTGCGATGGAAGAGAAAATTTATAGCTATTGCATTCCTAATGCATACAGTTACTATATTCAAGAATGCATTATCTATTTGGTTAAACCTAATGCTAATATCTGATAAAGCACTTATACTATGCGTTTGCTTCCAGAAGAAGTGAAAGTGATCGTCATTCACTGACATATCGGAAAAATGCTAATCGATTTTAAATTAGCGTTTTACCGGTTTACACACCGCAAACAAATAAAATCACTCAAGCGCATATAATGAAACGATACCCCGCTATTACAAATTCATAGCTAATTTCGCTATTACAAAGTATTTTGCAACAAAACTACAATAAACAATTTACTGGTTAATCTTCCAGATTTAGTAATGATTGTTAATGACTAATTATCATTGCAGTGCCAATAGTTTCTCAATACTACAACCAATTAGTGGTAAAATCTCGTTTAGACAAGAATTCACTTTTGTTGAATATTACGAAACATAATCAAGACGTGCTACAGTATTCAGAATAATATTTAGAGCGGAGCCTTGAGCAAGCGTAACGCGAACAAATCTTAACAGGCTCATCAAAAGACGAAATTACATTTTATGATCGTCTTTCGTTAAAATTATCGTCCTCAGGTCACTGAGAATTTATTAGATACATTTCATCAACTTTAAATTCGTTAACAATCTTCAAAAAATAATAACCATGATTTTCGTTTTCCCGTAAACTTTCACATCTTTCATCTCGGGTTGCCTGGAAGAGATCGCTTGCTAGCGATAAGGCCGCCCATTGCATTCCATATTTTTAGTAAATCTCGTTCGTTTATTTTATTATGTGCAATAAACTGTTAATATATTTTTCTACGTACGCTCTTTATCATTTGGAAAACTTATTACAACAATTTAATTAAAGACGTTCTCTTTAAGGGAATTTATATTAGAAGGGTGTTGCTTAAGAACTTTACTCAGAGGTCGTACCGTGATTTGTGAACACCCAAGGTCTCTCATTTTGAGTGTCGTATCAGTTAGTAGTTGATTGTAGAGAGCACATAAAGAATTTTAAAAATGACCTTAGCTGTCTTTTTAAATCTGGTTGCGATTATAAACGTATTCGTAAACTTTAAAATGCCTTTGAACACTTACTTATCGATACAAATAATCTTACATTCAAAGTTCTCTAAAAAAAGGAATACAATTTTTTAACCTGTTTCCTTCTGACCTTCTTAAATATGTGTAATGTGAACAAAAATGCAATAATTTTGAGCCTACTTGTAATGAATTAAACTAACCGTCAATAATTGTCTGCACTCAAGAACAATGAGCAGTTATATTTTCCGATCCTAATCTCATGCTATCGTGTTACGAGGACCTTGATAACGTTAGCTATTTCGTAATAATTGTTTTTCTTACTATTCATTTTAGTTCCATATCGAAAAAGATGGTATGAACAATAGTACGAAGTGTGGTAACACATTCAAATTCAAATAATTAATATTAATTTAAGTTTCAGTTGCTGAATGAAAATTAATATATACTAGTCGGTGATGTTATGGTGCAATAAAATGTATACATACCACGAAGATATATAAGTATATGGGGGGGGGAAAGATAATTAAGGGCGTTTGAACTTTCCCGTCTCGCCGCGACTGGGGGCGTCAACAGTCAAGCATGATATTCGAGAATTCCTAGACTATGAAAATGCTTCATACTAAACACCTAATGGCAATCGTCTAAGAAGTCTACACTAGACCGACTTTCAAAACAAAAGTGTGTCCTTTTGTTCTCGACGCCCTTAGTTGTGCTTTTAAAAGATGCACTAGTAGTTGTAGATGTGTGTATAGACAAGTATAAAAACAAACGAAACGGAATATAAACAATACGTTTAAAAAAAAAAAAATTAGCAACCAGATAGACTTGTTAACTTCTTTTCATTATAAATACAAAATACTTTTTTGGATCAATTTTATTTACTAAGATCCAAAAAAATGTCTTATATATATTATTTAAAAAAGGACTAAGTATTTGACTAAATTAAATTAAATTTAAGTAACCTCAACAATATGACTAATGTCTCGACGGCGTTATACTTAACAAAATATATTACGCTTTACTTCTTTGTACGATTAACTTGTACTCGTTTCATTCAGCCAGTGCGTCGCAAAACAAAAATTAATTTGTATTAACACTTGTATTACGTTACTGCGTAGTTTTTACAGAGTACATAGTTACGTTGAGTGAGGAAAACTGCAAATCATAGGTTGACGGTATTTAGTCTCTTATCATATTGTTAAACACGTAGGACTTTGCGTGTTAGGTATGAGTTATGTATAAAATCATGTCTTCCTTTATATCTACTTTACACACTTTCTCCTTTTTTTCTTTCGCATTTATTAAGTTGTCTGTGAAGATTACAACCAGACTAATGAATAAGTTTAGTATTTTCATAATCCAAAAGCCTAAAAGCTTTAAATATATTGTTAAGTAAATGTTTGACAAATTTAAAATTCTAATTTTAAAGACGGTCGTCATAGTGTTTTGTTTATAGGTTGGGTACGAATCAGTGATATCCGGTTTTTCCACACTTGGAGCATGGGGTGACTGTTAATCAGCCAACCGAAACCACGGAATTCGAACCCAGGACCTCTTGCACTATACGCGTGCTTACCATTGACCAACCGCGACCGTCAACGCTGGGTTGACATAAAACACTATAATTATTATTTAAAAGTCACATTCTAGAAAAATATATTTTGTATTATCATCTCATCACCATCATATTCCCTTCATTAGTTGATGGTATTATCTAAGCTCATAGGTAAAATGTAGAAGACCTTGGCGATCAGCGTCTATCGACAAACATACTGGTTATTTGACGCACGTGCGGCTTTGTTTATGTTTCTAGTAAGATTATGTTACGGAAAATATTAATCGCTAATCACGTATTTTAAACTCCTCTTTGTTTACATTGTTTTCTGCAAAAATACGTTATTTCATTTTAGATTTTGGTATAACATATATCACTTTATATTTTACTTATCTTTAATACTAAATTAATATAGGAATGATTTATTTTTACCAAATGTAACACTAGTATTAGGAAGTTTGGAAACTAGGTCATGGTCAAAATCGATAGTGAAATCGCATTTCATCCACTTGTGGTTTATTGTATTACGAAATTATACACCAAACGTTTTAAAACCACAGTATTTAAAAAAATATATAATAAAGAAGTGCTAATAAAATAAAGAATTTCTAATAAGAACCCAATAGAAATTAAGTTAAGTTAATTATTTACTGACGTAGATTAAATAATATAATTTAGCAACTGTGTCGTTATTAATCTACTACATTCCGAATATTTAAAAAAGTATTAATTAATTTATTAAAGTTACAATACGAAAAAGAGCGTTTAAATGTGGAACAAAGGCAAAATTAAAATTACAATAAATAACGAAAAAATCTACTTTCTCTTCAACACTAAAATAATAATGTCAACTTATACTATGAATATTCTATAGAACACTTATAAAAATACTTACATATTTTGTGCTTTGGCTCTATTGTTGTGCTTGTAATTTGTTAGCTCAAACAGCACTCATAATAAAGCAACTTCAAAGGCAAACTATATCACTTAATTTATTGAGAAACAACACATTCACTAACACGAACCAAAATATATCAGCTGTTTACATTATCAACCTTGCTATATTTCGTATAATATTTTCCCACAAAGTATTTCCATATAATACCTAGTCTCTACAAATGCGAACGTCTGTGACCACAAACGGCAGAGCGCAGTGCACACTACTCAATGCACTTGTATTGACGTTTGTTTTACAAATGTGAGTGCGAATGAAATCTACTCGTAGACCGTAGTGAATGTAGCAGCGATTCTGTATATAGATAACGAAAATGTCTGGTAAATTTTAAGAAACTGGTATGGCCACCCGATAAATGTTATGCAAATTAGCACTAAAAAAGTTGTGGTATTGCCATAACACGAGGAGATTTTCTCATATTATGTGACTTTTTAATAAAAATATTATTTAATGCAACATATATTTCTAATATATTGTCTTAAATATGACGTGTTTTACAAAGAAAATAAAAATAACTTAGATTAAGCGCGTTTAGGTCATTCATCTAATTATAAACTTAAATAATAATTACTTTAATACTTACTTTTTATTTCGGTATTTAATTTTTCTTACATTGATTTGCTTGAAATAGCATTAGGTCATCACGTTTTAAATTTTTTGTTTTCTTTCAAACCATAACCCTAATAATTATATATATTGTGACCCTACATCGATATATGTATATGCACCATTAATTTACGAACATTAAATTTAACTATTTTACTAAATAAATTCCAGGAAAATAGTTTTCTTTATATCCGTCATCTAGACAACAGAACTGAAAGACACCATTTTACTTCATAATACTAGACAATTAGCATAAGATGACGATTAAAATTACAAATAAGGTACTCTTTTAATCGAATTTGGAAAAAAAATAAAATAAGCAAAAAGGGGCCATTGCTCTATACTCTGTGAATCTTTAATACATTTTTATGTTATATTTCATTATCTGTGGAAGTTATACACACCCTATAGCTTAAAAACAGTACTTTATTGTCAAGATCCACCCTCCACAGTGAGTAATATATCGTGAAGCATGGTTGTTGATAACTTCTTATTATTTCTATATAGTTTTGATGGCTTTTTCAGTCTGAATATTTATGGGAGGAACGAATATTACAATGTCTAATAAGAATTCTAAATTTTAGTTTTGTTTCTTTGACAGTTCTATGAATTGACAATTAACATTTAACCTCGTAGTTGCATTTATGACTTAACTATTTCGCAATTGGCCAATTCGCCGCGTAAAACAAAAATAAATAAGGCTTGTTCAAGTATGATTACATTTTAAGTAGGTATATCGCCAAGTTTCCTCGTGATAAATTATCACTTTTTGTCATATGTACCTATCAGTATTGTTTATCACTTAGATATATAGTCACAATAGATTGAAAGTTGTGAATTTTAAATTCCCAATTAAAAGCACTGAAGTTTACAGTTGTTTTTGTTTATTTGGATTAAACATTTATCAAGGTATGGCGTTTTTTGAATTCCTACAAGTAATTGTTAAAACACACATTTAACACATTTATGTATATAAAAGTGTAAAAGTTTAGAAATGGTCTTTGAAAAGACTCCGTAAACAATTATAAAAAACTCGACGATATTCATGCATTTTTCCATATAATATTTATTCCTTTATTCTATGTAACAACCCCGGAAAACAATAAATCTGGAATGTTTTGTTTTATCATCCATTTTAATTTAGCTTGATACTCTGTGTCGTATTTTTAATCAATAATATACATTATTGTGTGTCTTATGTAATGTATGTACTGGGTTTCTTTAGCAAATATTGCATCTTGTTATAAAATACAGTAGTGTGGGTTTTAAGGTTTATCATCTAGGTCCTGTTTATTTCCAAACATTTTTTAGTTTCTAACATACTTACTGCAAATGCATAAATAATATTTACTATTATTTGATATAATTCAGGTAAAGAGACTGCAAATCAAATTAAAGTCTTGCCTATCAGTTTTATAGCCATAGATTGAATAATATTTTTTTTGCAATTATAGCTGTACCACACCCAAACAAGAATTTAATTAACTGATAATGTTTTGATAATCTTAATGACCATTTCAAAGAGAAGTTCTTTATCAATCCTTGGATACAAATAATTTAGTGTAGAATTTATTGCAGATAATCCGTTGACTTATTGTAACACAAATGTACACTTTCGCTAAAGGATGATTTGCAATATTGTATCACTATAGCATCAGCTATCAGCAGAAAATAATATACTAGATTATCATATTATATAAGAAAATAAACTTAGTTATATGTAAATATAACCATCAGTCAACATACTAATTAGATATATGTTGCTATTGTGTTATGTTTTAAGGGTAGACAAAAATCTATTGAAACTTGGTAACAATAGTGAAAAAAGGTTATTATTCATTATTTTTAAAGGACATTCTATAATTGTCATCAATATGATTTGTTATTGGTGATGTGGAAAATTTAATATTCATTTAGCTTGCCTTTGTATCTAAATGCGTTGCCTAATCAAATTATGTGGATCGGGCAGAGCACAGAAGTCTAATCACCTACTTGCATGTAAAGAAAACTGATCAGTGAAACAAACATGGAAATGTGTTAGCCCTATGTCCCACGGGGAAACGGGTTTAAAATTTTAAGTACATAAATTATTTCTATAGTCCAGTCATAGCACGAATGATGTGCAACTGAATTATGTAAAAGGAAGAGTAATACGAAATGCGTAGCTTTGTGTGGTCTCTTTTGTTTTCCGTACTAATGTGACGCTGTTACTACATTACCTCTATATGTTGTACAAAAATCTTTATCATTATCTTTAGATGACTATGCAATTCGATCGCCGAATCTATACATCAAAGATACTAGTCATGCTATGCTGTAACACAGGTGATGACGATATATATACCGTGCTTACCTCATTTTAGACTGATAAGTGTTTTTAATTTATGTGATACGACAAACAACAAGTGCAAATCATAAATATTTGAGATTTTTGCGACAAAACTAGTTTCGATTACTAGAACAGTTTTTGACGATCCAATAAAGCGATATCCCCGCTATGGCGTAAGATATCCTGAGTCCCCATCTCAAAAAGAGTGTAAAAAAAGCATCAAGTTATTTTCATACGCCTACCCAAGTAGGTTAGTATTCGTTAATCGTACTTTGCACATTAGTTGTGTTTTTAAATTGCAATAATTTCACTTGTTATAATTTCGCCTTATACCATAAATAAATATCGTAGAATACTATATCGTAAACGATTAAATAACATCAAATGACTCTAGCAAAGAGGTTTGTTACTGGCTGGAAAAGTTAAAAACGAATTGTCATCCCGGCCGAAAAAAAACGAATTCGCCTTGCATTAGAATACGTTAGTTACCGGTTTAAATTGTGTAGTTCAAGGATATATGACGTATATTTCTTAACTCGCCGAAATAATTCCGGTTTTCAACATCACTATACCATGATTTGAGCTCAATTCAAATCATGCGCTGTGTTGTTTGATATTTATATTGTATCTGGTGAGATATATATATTTTTTAATATTACGCTTTAAATATAACACTTAAATAGGCGTTTGTTAATTATAACTTTAATATCTATAAATTTGAATTAATTTTAATGTGTTTCATAATGCGACATTTGATTTTTCTATACAATATCTACTTCTAATTTATTTGTAAAAGGTCATATGCTTTTTCTGAACAATGATTAAAAGCATTAGAGGTTGTTGTTTATTATGTATTGTTTGAAATGAATCGCCAATAACAATTTACAACGACCATAACAATGTCGAGAGATGTTAATATTGAACATTGCTAATGCAGTTCTAGTTAAGATTGTACGTTTAGACGTATAACAGTAAGTTTCTGCTACGACCGCGCCGTTTTTTGAATCTAACCAAAATGGTTGTAAAAATGATATTTCGCGTATAAAGTTAGTTAATGTAATGTAGTGTTTTCTTAGACTTTTTTTATTATTACATTAAAAAAAAAACAATAAAAATAAGTTACTAAATCAAAACATTTTTTTTGTTTTTAATTTGTCTTCACCTCAAAATATACTGTTCACATAGGTAGTATGGCGTTCTATACGAACTGACTCTACATGAAAAGCTGGTAGTTGTTTTTCAAATGAATGCATAAAATTAATATATTTTCAACGTGGTTCAAGTTAAACAATATAAGATAGTTCCGCCTTGTAGAACGTACTGTAGTATTTAAATTAAAATAAAATACGGAATTACAATAAAAAAAACTTGCCCAAACAAACGGCCGGATTAATCATATTTAGATTGTCATACAAATAATTGTTCGGTGTGCAAAGGATTGTGAGTACGTAATTGCGACCGTACTTTATCTATTTCAGAATGATTATAAGAGCGACACTTGGGTGTATGAAGCTCGCAGACGCGGTGACTTTGCTCGGAAAAGGTGGTCCGTTCAGGCATTTGGCTACGATGGCACGCAACAATAACTTCTTTTTCAGACAGGTTAGTCATGTTTTTACTGAATATCTCGTTAGATTAGAATTTGTAAATTTAACATGAATATTATTTAAGTAGAATTGTATTAAATATTGTTTTGTAAGCTTTCTGAAGTTTGCGTTTATGTTACTTTTTATTTAAGTATTAAGTACCTGTAGTTTTCGCGAGTAGTACACATTTAAATAAAACCCTTTAACGGTTTAAAACGCGAAATTTAAGCGTATTAGTAAAGCTTTATTACAATTTATTTTAAGTACGGCCTGACGTGTCGGATGCTTTACAGTAGCTATTGTCGCGGGGGGCATACTAAATAATACATTTCGCGTTTTAAACCGTTAAGAGTGCTTTAAAATTGTTTAATTGCCTTTATAATTGTGTTATTGAATGAAAACAAGATATTAAATAATATATTTCAATATCTGATTAGTTAATTATTTTGTCTGCGATAAACAATTATTTGATACAATACATAGTTATCAATTTAATAGTAATAAGAAGATTAGAAATGAGGTAAAATACCTGTTATATGAGTAATTTTACGAACTACTTATGTATGAAAAAAGTGTATTTTACCATAAACTTAATATATCAGATGTATAGTGGCCAGTGGCCAAGCCTAGTCTGTTCCCTAGGGCTATAAAAACAGCTTATTTTATTTAAAATTAACACGCGACCTTCTAAGCAAAATAGGGATATTAATACATACATATTAAATACTGTCTATACAGTTTACGCGAGTAGTACATATTTAAATAAAACACTTTAACGGTTTAAAACGCGATATATTAGTTAAACTTATTTGAAAATGATTTTTAACTTCGGGCCGACGTTTCGGATGCTTTGCAGCAGTTTTCGAGTTTTAAACCGGTTTAAAGTGTGTTTTACTTAAACATACATATTGAACTTATATTTACTAAGGCAAACGAGCGTCAGTATGTCAAGTAAGTGGATACAGTCGTTTTTTGGACAGGTAAGCATGGGGTTCACATGGTGCAAGGTGACATACCTTTGCCTAGTTGACCTATTTTGGCTTTGGATATTCGCAAATCCACAGACAGAGCTTAACCGAATTCCAAGATGTTTTAGGAAATTTTAAATTGATTAGGAACTTATTGGACCCGGTTGGGGATTGAATCCACTGTTCGTGGAGTAGCCATAAATTTCTACCTGTAGAGCAAGTCACCCCCGTCTCTATTAGAATTCTTGTTAATAAGAATATGAAAATCTTATTAAATAAGTAAAATATGACGATACCATCAATTTTATTACAAGATTAATTTCGGATAAAATGAAGTTGAAATAATATATGAATGATATAATAAAATGAAGAAATAAAATGTCAAATAACTCATTTAGTAAGTGGGGTTGTTTCAAATTTTAAGATAATCTGAGAACAAGCAAACAAGGAACAATCGCCCTGACAAAAATGAACTTCTAAATTCCATCTTGTTATTTTCTCGAATATCTCTCAAGTGCATTTATTTTTGTATTACATGTTGGAGATAATAATATGTAAGTTCACCCTCGAACACACTGTTTTTACGTTTTTGACAGTTTTATCGTAAATATTCGATAAAAATGCGAAATCAGATAACTTGTTGCAAAGGAAGCACAGTTTAATCTTAAGTGTTGCATATTTCTAAAAAAATAACTTGTATGCAATATGTAGATTGTACAAAATGTTCAAATCGCAATTTTAACTTGTATAGGCTCTAACAGAACGATTTCATGCCACTGTGCAGTAACGTGACGTAATATACATTTAAATTTAGAATTTCACGTCTAGATTAAAAATCGAAAATAAATTGAAAAATTTTTTCAAATTATTTTCGATTTTTAATCTAGACGTGATCAAATTAGAGTTACGATTTTTAATCTATATGACGCCATCATGTGCAATAACATGTAAAACAAATATTAAAGTTTTCAAACTTCACGTCTGATGAAATTATTCGTCAATGTCTAGTAAGATATCTATCTATGTTTGCTTTGTAATTGAAGAAGCAATGATTCAGTTCCAATTTTTTCCATTCTGATGACAAGTGAATATATGTTTTTGAAATAGTTCCACCATACATTCTAAGCATACTTCTCAGTTTTAACAAATAAATGTTATATGTATTTGGAATATTAGCCTTGAATGTTGATCATCCGGCTTAAATTATGTAATTATATCTCAAAGTACGCCGCTTCATACAATGGGTTGAGTAAAAATAATCGGCTAAGTGCGAGTCGGAGTGACGCATGCAGTTCCATACCGTTGACTAGGTAAACAAACTTACTGCAATTTTTGACTTATCTTAAGTTGCCTATTACCAGTTATTAATAACGCATTCCTTGTATAAGAGGTTTCCTTAAATGTTTTTCGTTAAAAACAACAAAGCGTTTGTGAATACTTCAAGTGCCTACCTGCTTTTGTTACTTATAGATATACAAAAGTGGGATTTAATATTTGTTTTATTTTGAGTTGTTATGGCAGTGACAAGAATACATTTTTAGTAAAGTTTCTACTATGAAAAGCCTGGTAGAGCCGTGTTTTACCATGTGAGTACGGATCATTAAAAAGGCGGAGAGTATTGGAATTTATGTCCTAGTCACAAGAATTCGTCATCTTTGATTAAATGGATGAAAAAAAAACGTTTTTTAACGTCGTAACGCCTTTAAAATTTTTTTTAGTTGTATATTCGTTTCTATGTAATAAATAAATAAATAAAAAAGTTGTATCGCAGTGAATCGAATTTTCTTCGATTGTCGTATTTGACATGTTCGTTTAGATCAATGCCTAATATAAGCATTTAAATTTCCAGTTATTCGACTCAGACAGCAGCACGTACACCTACCTCCTGGGTGACACCAGCTCGAAGGAGGCGGTCCTCATAGACCCGGTCATCGAACACGCTGAAAGGGACGCGACCCTCATCAAGGATCTCGGGTTCAAGTTAGTCTATTCCAGTGAGTAGTATATGCATTTTAGTATTCATAAAGCGTTATATAAATTTTGACGAACTCGTAGCAATGAATGGCAACAATCGATGGGTCGTGGGTTCGATTGCCACCGGGTCCAACCTTTTTACCAATCAATGTATATTTTCTGAAATATATTGGCTAAATAGGTGATAGAAATATCAAAACTCCGTCCGGATGACGACCTATCCACAGATGAAAAAGCTGTCAAGTTTAATGGCGTTTCGGTTTCAGTCTGAGGATTTCTGAATATTCAAATCCAAATTAGGTCGACCGCACATCTTATTTAGTAAATAATTTAGATTTAGATATATATTACTGATCGTCTCTGTAGCTTAATGGGTAAATTGTGCTGCCTAATTTTGCGTTATATCCTGAGTTCGATTCCCGGGGAAACAATAGATTTTATCATTCCGGTAGGGTACAGAAGTCTGACCAGATACTTGTTTGTAAATAAAGCCGATCAGTGAAGCGGATACAGAAATGTGTTCGTCATGCCCCAAGATAGGTATCAGGATTTTACTAGTGATATCCCATTTCCCCAGTGTCCCCTTAATGGGTCGTTAGTTAGTAGAATACCAATTAGAACTAAGCTAGGTTAAAAGTGTAAATGGCAGAATTGAATAACTGATTTGAGAATTAAAAAATATTTAATGTACCCCCTTAATTTCGCATGAAGTCATTGGTATTTTTTAATTTGATAATAGACTATTCGAGAATATCGATTAATATTGATATCTACGTACAATTTATCTCAGTCCACACATACAAAGATTACATTATTTAACTTTTTTGGAACTATCTGATAACGAATAAATATGGTGCCAGGTGTGCCAGGAAATTGTTTTGTTTAAGTGACATTCGTTGTTATCTCCTAGCGTAATTTGATCAAACAGAGATTAGTCGCACAGTATGTTATATATAAATAATAGATTGGGAATAGTACGAGCATGGTCTAACCGAGCCAATTAATAGTATCTTATCTAAAGTCTAGACAGATTTATTGATTGTAGAAAACGCTTCCTGAATTCATTATAGAGATGATTTTTTCGAAAAAATCAATACATGGCCTAGATCAGTTATAATCAATTTATATAGTGAAATTCAAATTTTATATACCTATATAATTTCGAAATTCGAACGTCGAAACGATGTCTTTTATTTTATTTCGCGTTTTAAACCGTTATAAGTGTCTTACAACAGTCGTGGTTACTGGTTATAGTAAAAATAAGTTATAAGTTAGTTAACTTATACATTTTGCGTTTTAATCCGTCAAAAAAGTTTTATTTATTTGCATGTCGTGTCTACATATTTATAAGCTTAATTTTTAAGATTTTTACTTGTATATATCATGTCTATTAAAGCTTAGTTTTGTAGACCTTTAAAAAAAAAAAAAAATGTAGTAAAACAGCCATGGTCACGGGGAGACTAAAGATGGAGGATGTGCCTGATGATCAGTAAATCAGATGGCGTTAGCGTAGCAGTTTTTAATACTACTAACCGTTTTAAACCGTTAAAGTGTTTTATTTTAAATGCTTTATAGAATTTTGAAGCAAAACAAACTATTTTTTATTTGATTTGATATTTTATTTTCACCTGTGTTTCAAAGTCATTCCTCTATTTCAGTGAACACACACATGCATGCTGATCACATCACGGGTACAGGCAAGCTAAAGTCACTTCTCCCAGGCTCAAAAAGTGTAATCGGAAAGGCATCGGGGGCGAAGGCCGACATACATCTGGTCGATGGAGACATCGTCAAATTTGGTAGCCATCAACTGCTGGCGTCAGCGACCCCGGGACATACTAATGGCTGCTTCACCTACATCAGTCACGAACAGGTATTTATAACGGCCAAAAGTTTTGCGTTACTTTAAAATGCCCGTACATACTCTTTAAAATGACCCTATGATCTTCGCTATTTATTGAAGGGGACGTATTGTTATTTTTATTTTATTATAACCTATAATTATTATTTTTGCTTATATTTACGACTTTTTACGATAGAGGTAAATGGATAAGCTTGGGGTACACTTGATAGAAAGTGGAATACATCAGCCACTAAAATCTCAATAAAACGGAAATACGATTTACTTCGGAATTTCAATATTCCTGTCACCCATTTAATATCTAGAGTTCATCATCTTCATCAAACGTATTCGACCCGATGGAAATCGTACTCATGACCCGTTGATTCTTTTATTATTATTAATTATCCTAACAGTGAAATTTAGCCTTACCCTTCTGGGTTTTGGAGAAGAATGAAGCTTTGCCTATTGGAATTATTTTATTCACTAAAATTATTACGATCTCGTAGGATTTGTACCAGTAACCATCCCATCACAGTACCACGATATGCGTTTAACCATTAAGTCACTGATTAGTGAACGCGTAATACCTTTACGGGAATAAAAAAGGACTAAAATAATATTAATATTTTTTCAGTGCATGGCATTTACTGGCGACGCACTCTTAATCCGTGGTTGCGGCCGAACAGACTTCCAGGAGGGTAGTTCGCAAACTCTCTACAAATCGGTGCACGAGAGGATCTTCACTTTGCCCGATCACTTCACACTCTACCCAGCGCACGACTACAAGGGCCTAACTGCCACCAGTGTTGGAGAAGAGAAAAAATACAACCCCCGACTTACCAAGTCGCTCGAGGAGTTTGTGAAAATTATGGACAATCTTAATTTGCCGTACCCCAGAAAGATTGGTGAGATAAATATTTTACTTAGCCTATACTTATCTATAAGTCAATCAACGGCAGTTATGTAAATCTGATTGATTACAATAACAAAGACAATTTAAGTAAAAAAGTAAACTTAATTTTGCATATAAATTAAAAAGGGCGTTTAATTCTACAAGCTATAACTGGATGTTTTTGTTGATGAGAAAAAGAGTTTTATGCCTAAACTACTCGGCCGATTTTAATGAAATTTAGAATATATACTGGGAACCTATTAAGCTATATTCTATTGGATTGTATGTTAGGAGTCTAACAGTACCTTGTATATAGTTTGAAATTACCTATACAATTATATCTAATCGGGTAAAATAAGTTTTCATATAAGTAATTTACAGTATTTTTTTTATTATTTTCAGATGAATCTATCCCAGCGAACAGAGTATGCGGTCTTTTTTTAAATAAAACATTGTATATACATAACACGCTGAAGAGATAAAATGAATTTGTAAAAAAACTTCAAGTATTAGAAAGAATAAATACTTTTTAACACTCACTGATTTCAGACTAGTGCAATTTTTTAAATGTAAATATGTATTATTTGTGTTCAATATATTATTAATGCTATCTACAAACTGTTTCCTATTGAATTTAACTACTTGAGTAGTTTTTGTATAGAAGCTAACTAAGTTGTAAGGTTAACAAATGTAAAGTAACATTTTTATAGAAACGTTTATCAATATTATTTTAAAACATTGAGTTTGTTTTATTTCATTGTTGCCTCCATTTATTATCTTGGTATGAAATATCACAGCTATCTAGTTTATATCTAGTTTAGCTTAAAAAAGATTAAAAATTAGGCTTTTTGTAAGCTAAACTAGTAACATTTTAATAATAAGTGTGAATTTGAACAGTGGAAATCTATAGAAATAAGAGCAATTCTTGCTCTTTGCTGCAAATAAGTTCTTAAAATGAAAGGCTTAAAAACATGAGGAGTATTCTTTCAGTGCTATACACGACCGAAATAATTTATCGTTTCTCCGTAATTTGAATCGGGATTAGGACCTCTCGAGATTTATGCGATACTTTGAAACGCGTTTTATACCATGGGACTATGGAGGATGTAGATTCTCTTAGTTCTTAGTAAATACACTAGATGTCACTATAAGAAATTTCTGATTTGAACGCATTAAAAATATTTTTTGTGTCTCTATGACAAACAATTTAATAAAAATAATAGATTTTTTTGTCATAGAGATGGCGTTATATGGACGTAGAGATTATTAAAATTTCATTTGAAAACGTGGCGCCTCCGGAATTTCTGACATCATGTCTAATTTAAGACTATATGTTTTTTTTAATACACTCTTCAGCAATATTCAAAACACCAAATATAATATATGACTATAATCCTTTTTTGAAAGTGATATCTCGAAAATGATACATATATTTTTGCTAAATAGCCATGTTTGGTTTAACTTGCTTGACATTTAGAATGCTAAACACTCCCTTTAGAAGGGCGATCAATTAGAGGAAAGTTATAATGTAGATGATTTTGTACCAAACCAAAAAAAAACACACCTGATTTTTATTGAAATAGGTTGTAGGAATTTACCTATCCAAAGTAAAACTACAAATATATTGGAAAGGAAATTTGTTTTTTATTTCAAAAAAAAAAAAATTATAATTAATTTTAAAATATATATTTAACAATATTTTAGTAACTACTACTTGTGCTGTTTATTTAAACATAGTCATTAAAAATTAGCTTTATCTTATAATTTTTAAGTGTTTTATGTTTTCCTATATTAGCATACATACATACATTTAATTTATAAACTTGATTGTTTAATAGTTGGGACAATGTGTAGATTAAATGTATTTTATTCACTTTAAAATAATACGTCCTTTTCATAAAAGTCAATTACCAAAAATAAAAATACTTTTTACTAACCACGGCTGCTTCAAAGCATGGTACGTAAACTGATATATTGTGTACTTTACCGTTAAGAATGATTTATTTAAATTAATACTGTTCACCTTCGTCTATAATTTATAACAATACATACGAAAGGCTTTACAGACTATACCCAGCCAATGTAAATTAGAATAACGGTTTCTTAGTGTCTGGAATTGCGTAAAATAAAGCCATAAGGCTATAAAGCAGGCCGTCTGGTCGACTTGAGTACGTGACGTCATTCGACACATGCAAAACGACTCGATGCAGCATAATGGTGTAGCTAAGAATAACCTACAAAATTATGGTTCAAGTAACATACATGCGATTTTTAATGTTGTATTTTAATAAGCTAATTGCTGCTACGAATAGGAGAGAAGAAACAAAGGAAAATGTGGAAGGAGAAATGATCTATTAGGTTCCGTTGCGTACGCTACAAAAGCGGTTCAAAAAACTATGTATAAAGAATTATTTTTCTTAATTTTATTTATTCAGTATAATGTCTATCTTTAAGATAATTCGGAAGAATGACGGGTCGCGGACGAGGTCGTGGGTCGTGGGTAAAATTTATAAAGCTAAAGAGGCTGTTCGCAAAAATATATAACATGATGCCCAAATTAACTAATCCACGCGGATGTAGTCACTGGCACATCAAATTTTCGATTTGTCTGTCTGTATGTTACATTGTATACTACACTGTATCATACAATAGATGATATCAGATTATGCTACTTAAAAAAATAACAGTTATTTAGTGATTTCATAGCTGCTATTAATCTATCTGCGTCTATTTGTGACGTATGAAAAGCTACTACTAAAAAGAATGTTAGTTACAAATTTGTATGTTAGATATAAAATCTATTTGGAAATCTATTAATCAGTAATCCATGCGAATGAACTCGCAAACGTAGTTTTCGTTTAATACTATTATAAGCTCATATACTTCTTTTACCCTAGTTACGTTGTATCTATCTCTCTAGCCTAGACTGCGTACAGCCTAACTGCAGTCACTTAGAATTGAGTGTATACGGAACTATACTCGAATATAGTACAATTTATATTAACGTAAAGAATGTAAAATGACCAGTACATTTAGTAATTTATAGATTAGTATTTATATTCTGATAAAGACGAAGAGAGAGACTCCTAGTCAAAACCCTAGTCATATAACATCTAAACAAGATACTCTATTGACCTATTTTGGCTTTGGATATACCGAAACCGCAGACTGAAAAGGAATCTAAACTTCACGGCTTCTTCATCTTCATTCAGGACGGTGGTTCGGTTTGGTTTGATATTCCTACCAGTCATTTAATATCCAGATTAGCAAATAAAAAACCCAACATGCACTCAGTGGGTATCACACCCACGATCCATTGATTATAAGCCATACATTACCATTAGAGCGAGTCTTACCTAAATATGAAAATTGTAGGGTAACAAACTCAGTCCTGAAACAAAGTAGTCAAGCAATAATTTGATATGAAAACACCCTTTTCTTAATTTTAACTTTTCAAAATTAAAAAATATATGAATTAATGTAACAGAAGGTTTTCCGTATGTTTTCCACGTCCGACTTGGCTCCGAATTGACAATACGGGTTTGGCCGGTAATTTTCGTATCTCCACCATGCAATAATGGCCGATAGCCATTCTCAGTGCCTTCCAGCTAGACGAGTGCAATTTATGTGTCAATTCTAACGCTTATATATAAATGGGAAAGCGACTTTCTATGTCTATCAATCTTCATCTATTTCACCCATTATACGTAGCGTGAGCAGAAAATGTTTTTACTCGATTGAAAATACAAGTACTTGTCAACTGCGAACATTTTAGGATACTTTTTGAATAACTGTAACTGTATTATATATATTTTAGACATGAATTAACAGAATAAAAATTCATTAAATCAATTTATTATATAGATTAAAAAATCGATTTTAGATTGTAATTGTATGATATGCATCTTCACACAGTTGCACGTATCAATAAGTTGAAGACGACGATAACGTGCAGGACACGGTAGCTCAATTGGTTAGAGCTCGGAACGCTTTGGCATAAATCCCGTGTTTTTTTTAAATTTAAAAATAATTTTATATATATAATGCCATCGAGTGCATTACAGTTTTCAAATAATTTATTCGAAGAATCGAAGGCTCCCGATAGCCTATTCCATTTTGGACTCTATTTGTAAACTAAAAAGTAAAAATAAAACTGTACAAATTCAGTGGATACCATCACTCGTTGGCATTGGAGGTAATTAAGAAGCTGATCGGGCTAAATATGCTGTGTTAAATGGTGAGACTTCGGGGGGAGTAGTTTTATTATATGGGGGACCTACACATTCTGAGGTACTTTTTTTGGGGAGACAAGATTGTCGAAGGATGTGGAATGTTTATTTGTGAGAGGTCTCTACAAAGGGTATCTGGTATAAAACCATTGTATGTGCCCCCCCAATACACCCGTGATATATTATAATTAATATAAATAGAAGAGATTTTGTGTCTTTAATGCGGTTGGTTCCGGACATATTCCGACAAACAAATTCAAAATTTATGAGGGTAACATCAATCCCCATGTACCCATGTTTTGTGGAATGCGGCATATAGAGAATTAGTTATTAAATCTATATGTTTTAAAAATGTTGGGTGGTGTGGTAGTGTCTTAGCCTTTCCATTTTCGGGGGAGGCTAGGATGCTACTAAATTTATATCATAAGGCTATGATGTAGATAGTTTTAGAGTGTAGATATTCTATTAATTCGGAATGTAATTGTAAATTTTGTATATTGGGGACATAATTAATAAGGTCTATTAAATAAAGATAAAAAAAATCAAATATGTTTCCTGTTATTGATTATATATTTCGGGACATTTTTCTAATTTAAAGCAGAATAGTTAGTTAATACATATTTTTTCGGTGTTGAAACAAGCAAATTCTTAGCGTAATAATAAATATAAGTGTAGATTAATATAAAATTAATTTTACACTTCTATTTTATTTAATTTTTAATCGGTAAAATCTCATTATACATTTTAAATTTCCAATCATATTTTATTAGGAATGTTAAAATTATGTTTACCCAAGTAAATATAGTAAGCCAATGTGCTGCTGAATTCCATATAGTTTTAAAGGCGCGTCAGCATTGCAGTATTCGAAAGGCCTTGTACGTAGAAACGGGTCAAGAGCTGTGTCACTGAGATTAGTACAAAGCTTTATTTAGGTGTCATCTATTGTTGGAAACTCCCAGGACCAAGGCTCACTTCTGAGTTTAGAATATATAATTAATCTTCCCAAAACTATTTTCAACAAACGGTCCCTATCTCAGATTCATTTGTGATGATTGTAAAGTACTTTAAATGTATTTATGCTCGTAAATACTATTTAAAAGAAAAAAATCATTTGAAAGATTGGTTTATTAATTTTTTGGTTTTCTTTTCTTTGAAAATGGCAGTTGCGAACCGAGTTTTGCAGGTTTAGAAAACGTGTTACCAGTTCCAAAATGCGTAATCTTATAATATAAATATCTAAAATTTGATACACTACTTTGCTCCACGATGTTACGTCTTGTTCTGGCTCGATTCATACTCCAGCAATATATTGGCAAATTTCCAGATATTCAAAGCCTTGCTCTAAATGGTATCTTTCTAGATAATGTGAATAAGAGGTCAAGCCAAAAGTGAACGGAGAGAACCTATTGATTAAAGATTGACTATCAATAAATAAGGTTCTTAGAAACAAACTTACTAATGAATACAATAATGTATATATAAAAACTTTATAATTGATAGCGGGTCAACAGGGACAGACACTGATAAGATGGTCACTTCTCCGCTTATACTAAATATTTATGTTAGTACAATTCTGTATTTTGCGACGATGCATCACCGGAGTATATTTCTTTTTACGTGCTTTGTTCTGGCCGACTGCCGATTCTATGATTTGTATCTTTCATCTATGGTAAAGCCCGTAAGAAATACTCTACTTCGTAATCCTTGTTGCGTGGAAGATCCAAGCAAAAATATTGTCAGAGATCTAAAACCGGACGATGAAATTGTCAGAACATTTTGTACGAATGAATTTAATGCTACTGAAGTGTATGGTTTCGAAAGATACAAAATTAAATACAAATTTAAACAGAATATCGAAGATACGTCGAAACTCCATATCAACACAAGAGCTATCTTTATTAATTTAAAAATGGAAAACGGAACAGAAGTTAAAGATGTTAGGATAATACCGAAGGGACTACGTGTAAGAGATGCTGTTTTTATTACGGGTGCAGATGAACTTACATTGACAATACCGTACGAAGCTGATGAGGAGATTGTAGCCCCTCAAGCGTGTACCACGATCAGGGAAAACCCGATGGACATTGACATGCCGTCTGATTCCAGATACAGTGCTTATTTATTACCTCGGTATGGTGTTGACTTAAAGAATTTAGAATCTATAATGGATGATGAATAAAATGTAGCCACAAATAATCGTTTGTATTTTTAATACTATTTCAAATATTACTCAATCAAATAAGCGAATTTAATTGAGTAATTCCTTAAATCCTATTCTTAAAATGTCATATTTTAATGAACTTATTCAAGTCAAAGGTCAAAGCAAAGATAAGATGGAATTCTTTGACACGCAGTACGTCTCAGAGATTCATTAAGATGTTTCGTTTGTCCATATACATTTTTGTGTTACTCGTTTCGGCTGAATGTGGTTATCACCATTCATCGAAAACGGGATACCAATTTAAAAATAATATCGGATTTCAAAAATTAACCAAAGAAAACTGCTGCCCTGAAGATGATACGCAAAAAGTTAGTGTGAATTTGAAAGCCGCCAACCTGCTACTAAAGAAATTTTGCAACGGAAAGTACAATACTAGAGAAGTGTACGACGAGGAGGTGTACAGAATAAAAATCAAACTTAAGCGACACATTGAAGATCTAATACAAGTAAAAATAAATTACAGAGTTATTTATGTGATATTGAAATTACAAGATGGGTATGAGATAATAGATGCCAGGATTCTCCCGCAAGGATTGCAAACAAGAAATGCAGTGTGGAAATTAGACAGTGATGAACTGATTGTGTCTTTGCCTTATAAGAATGAGAGAAATTTGGAAGTGCAGTTGGACTGTGGTGGAGAAACTCAATATCCAAAATCTGTTGTTAACGTTCCCTTAGGTGTAGAATATAGTATTGCGACAGATTATAGATATGGTTATTAATTTTTAAATTTTTGTGCTGCTAGAATTGGTGAAGTTGGTGAAATTACTTTTTTTAAGATTGTCAATTATAAAATGTTTGTTTGTTTCAATTTTTTATGTTTTATTATTAAGAGCTAAAATAAATCAATATACCCGATGACTCATATGTTATATCAACCATTATGCCCCACATAGCCCTAAACCTCATTAAAACAAAAATCGTATTCCATAATATCCCATTTCGATTTCTCTATTGCCCAGACAATAAGATCTAATATTGCATTTTGTGGCTTGTTAAAAAGCGATGGCTCATCATTGGGAAACCCAGACCGAGGCAGACGGAGACAGTTTTCGTGATTCGTTATGGGTATACTCCTCATGCATTGCGTTTTAACAGCGGTGCGCAAGCGTACTGTTCCCTCTTGCGTCTCGCTCTAACCGGTACCAATTTCACTAACTGTCCTTTTCACCCACGACAGGGTCGATATATACGCTAGCTTCTAGGTACGCGTACATTGCCGTATTCATACCCTAGTACGCAGGTTTGAAGCGACTCGAACCAACGTCAGCTGTGGCCAGTCGAATACGGGAACGCAACACCGCGGCCGCAAAAATGTCGCGCGCCGTGCTTTTTATTAGTGTTTTTACCCTAATTTTGGAAGTCCTCAATGCGAGCCAGGTAAGTTTAGATAAGGAAATTTACAGATGAACATTTCTAGTCAGAAGCAGAACCTTAAGCGGGTATTAGCGTCGTAATAATCGATGAAACGATGTTTAAACGTGACGTGTAAAATAGACCGGCGGAAAACGTGATGCCATAAAAGTTTTTTTATAACGATTAGTTGCCAATACGAAATGGTTACTGTCGTAATAGAACTATTGTATTGAGCATATGCAAAGCTTTTGCTATTAAAAACACTTTTGACGTAAACATTATTTCCAAAAAGCATAGAGTAGCTTTTTGTGACTTAAGTTATCTGAAGTTTATAGTTTAATGATATAATAAAATTAATATTATATTTTAATTGAGCAATAATTTAAGAGATAATAAATATAATAAAAATATGTAAGGAGTATTTTTTTTTATTTTCATTCGTTATGTCCTTTTTTAATGAGAAAACAAAGTACCCATTGGGATTTTTTTTACATTTGTACAATTAAGAAAAGAAAGAGGTAGACACAGGTAGGCAATAGGTGGGTAATTAAATCAATATTAATTTTGACGGGTCGTTGGTCTAATAGAAGCAATATGTGGCACGGGTCGTGGGTTCGATTCCCACATTCCTCGGGTGTAACATGTTTCTAATTAATGTAACATTTTATGAAACATGTTTTTAACTTCGTCTAAGAAATCAGGATATTAAATGGATGGTAGGAATATCGAAAAAAACAGAGATGAAAAAAACGTTAATTAAATCGCGTTTCGGTTCCAGTCTGAGGTTTGCTGAATATCCAACGTCAAGATAGGCCGACAGCGCTTCTTGTTTAAATGTTATATGGCGGGGATATTTCACTATCATAAAATCTATAGACTCTTCTAGAGCACTCTTCAGATGATCTTTTGTTTATAGGATTTTTAATTGGCGGGCGAATGATCAAAGCCAGCGTAATTAATAGCAATATTCCTTTTGCAAACGTTATTAGATTCGGAGTGGGCTGCGGAGTATGCAAATCAGGGTATCCGTACAATCCTCCGCACCTGATGTAGATTAAGTTGATTTCAAAACCCGCTTCGGGCACAACTTTAATATATTAATTTAAAATCTGTTCTGCAGTGTGTAATGCCACTTTATTTTGATTAAATCTCTTGAGCGTTGAGTGCTTGACCGTATTGCTAGAAAGCAGCTATCTCAACGGGAATCAATTTCTTATTCCATTAAATAAAGGATGAAGCTTTGCATTAATTATTAACATTAAAAAGAGCTTTATTTAATTAATAATTAAAAAATAACTTTAAATTAAATGTAACGTCAATGAAATGTGCGAGGTTGAAACTATCTTTACATTTAAACCGTTAAAGTGTTTTGTATAAGAGTGTACTACTCGCGTAAACTATAGACATTATTTACTATTTTTACAATTAAATATTGAACGATTGAAGGGAGCTTGAAAAATTACGTCATCGCGGGACTCCAACCTGCGACTATGGGTGTTGTTGATCTGTTAGTTCAGCCGTCGTTCAGCTTTCACAGTTATTTAGGGACTCTTATTAAATAATTCCAAAAAGATAACGAGACAAAAAGAGAGGTTTTAGATTCCGATAAACACTTTGAACAGTTTAAAACGCGGAATATATTAGGCAGCTAATTTTTAATTTTACTTAAGTATCGACGTTTCGAATGCTTTGCAATGTCGGTCGCAACATGTTACCATGAAAAGATTTGGTCTTTTTATCATGTAATCTATTAATATTGTTATTAGACGGTGATTATAATTTAACTAATCACATTAAAACAGTCTATAAATGCAATTTGAAGCTTTGTCTTAGTTTACGCGAGCAACAATACTTAGTGGTGTTAAAACTAAAACACACATTGCTACGGGTGGATGAACGATAGAATAAAAATAGATAATTAACGCCCTTAATTGCGTTATAACAAAATATCCTCAAATCGCATATTGCATTAGTTAGTGTACGAGTTAATTTTAATAAGCAAACATTTTTTATCCTTTAATTTTCTTTATAAGGTTTTTTTTCTTACCATTACTTCGCAGTCATTGTCTTGCCTATAAACCGGTTGGTATTCCACTTTTCTACAGCGTGGATAGCTACTTGGTTTTTCTTTTTATTTGTTTGGGGGTTATTTGTTTCTCTCGTGACATAAGTAGAAATAGGATGATATAGGATCAGGGACGGATTTTTAGGACAAATTGTATTCATTAAATAGGACAGACAAGGTAGGGGCTCACTCGATGGTCTGTCAAATTTTCTAGACATGACAACGAAACAAGATGCACTGTCGACCTATTTTGGCTCTCTACATTCGGAAATCCACAGACTGAAACTGAAACGCGATTAAACTTAACGGCTTTATCTGTGGGCGGTGGTTCGTACCGAACGGAATTTCGATATTCCTGCCACTCATTTAATATCCAGATGTCCAGACGAAGTCCAAGATGCTTCAGAAAAATCACAATTTATTAAAAACATGTTGGACCAAGTGGGAAGCGAACCCACGACCCGTTGATTGTTAGCCATACATTGCTACCATTACACCAACGAGTAGGTGTAAATAGAGTAGGTGTCGCTTGTGTCTTGCTTTTTAAATCTTTCAAATACCCAAAGTAACTGCTATGTGTAATGCATGTTGTAAATATGCAAGTGTTTTTATCTAAGCAAATAGTTCAACAACGTGGAAAGCCTTTAGTGAATAATATTGTAAAATTACTCAGGGAAAGATGAAAATAAGAGCAATATTTTTACGAGATCGCACGGCTGGCGAGATAAGTGCATTGTCGCCTCTCATTCAGCGTTTATCAAAACTAAATGGAAAGAAAATCCGATTTACAGCCAACATTCTGAACATAATCTTGTTTCTGGAAGGCAATCCGATTTCAGGTAACATTGGGTATTATAGACGGACAATGTAAGGGTTTTCGGTTTATTTATTAGTCTAATTTAGGTTTCCTACTGAAATGTAGGAATAACATATTTTTATGGAGATATGTCCGCTTTGGATATACTACGTTGATCTATTCCGACATTTTAGTGCTTTAACGGTTTACACGCTAAATGTATAAGTTAACTTTTTTAATTTTTATTCAACTTCTTTCTTTATTTCTTTAAGTACACATTTACTCACATAAGCTGTAAATACTTCGTGTTTTCTTTGACAAAACCTGTAAAAAATATACAATTAAAAATCGATTTTAGATTGAAATAATAAAATTAGGACACGGGCGCAAATTGAACCGGCATCCATTCCGTGCTGTTGCTCTAATCTCTCTTTCTGTTTACCGGTTCAAGTCCCGACAATATCGTTAATTTTTTTTTATCTAAAATCGAAGCCATGCTGTGCACATCAAAAATGTTAAAGTTTATACGATATTAACATCATACATTTTTAAGGGAGCTTTATCTCTTTTTAGATATGCGCAACTATTAATAGTTTTACTAGCTATAATAAAATTAAAGGCATTGCATTTAATCTTGTAACCCACACGTGTACAGAGGCCTGTTGTAGAGTTGAGTACGAAAATGCGTAGCCAATTATAGAGTGTGTAATATTAAACTAATATAAAACTCTATATTGATGTTGGAAGTTTTCTGGTATTTTTCACCAAACTCATTACTTACAAATACAGAATATTAGGCTGCTGAATTCAGACGGTCAACGCCCTTAACAAGATAGATGTCTGTTAAATGTCTGTAGCCGAAGAGTGCTCACTTTAACTTAAATTGCTATTATCTAAATTATTTTCAGATATTCTTTTGGTATGAAATCCACAGCCGGGTACCAATGGCTAAAAAATTAGAAACACTAAAGAACAGAAAGTCATTTACTAATTAAATAAAACACTTTTAATGGAAGATATCAAAGCCAAAGCCGCTACGCTAGCGCCATCTGCCGTTCGCCAAAATATATGTCTACATAATTCGCTTTTTAAACCGTTAAAAGTGTTTTACTATAATGTGTAAACTAGACATTACGTAAGCCATTTACTGGTTTTATTAAATATACTCAAGTACTATACCAAATACTAACATCTATATATAAAAAATAGCAAGGCTTCTTTAAAATACAATCATATTAATTGCAACAAACATATTGGCATAGCTTCTGAACGCCAACAGATCGGAAAGATAAAATTTATATAAGTGCATGAGTTAATATAACCGTCGTTAATATTCATATTTGTTATACAATAATTATGAACATATTTGCTCTCAAATACGCTGATGTTCATTCGATTCGAGTGAATTATCGATAATTGTGTATTTAATATACCTTTGTAGATTCATATTATAGCGAGGAATATAATATGTTAGTAGTAATATGCTTAGCTATAGGTAGAAGGGC